AACTTTCCAACTAGGATGATTTTCTAAATTTTGAAGTCATGGATTAAGTATGAATCATGATGGTGGAAAACAGAGAAGTCCTCCTTGTGTTAAAGCCCCAGCAAAAAGAAACTAATTCTGTATAGCATATGGAATGATATCTTAAATATCTATACAGCCAGCTGGTAGTATTACTTTATTTTGATTTATTAAATTCACTTTCGTACTTCTGTGAGTAAAATTTAGAAGTGCATCTGTGCTGACAGCTTCCATGTTATTGTCTGATCTTTTCTAGCTCCACTTCCATAGCAATAATTTTTCAGGCTGAAATAGCAGTGAATAAATAGGACAACAACGGGATTCTGTTGAAAAAAAAAAAAAGAAAAAAAAAGAAAAAAAAGAAAAAAAAAATTTTGTGATTTTGTTTGGAAGGCAGAGTAGCGTTGAACAGCTTATAGGCATGTTTTAGGACAGTTGGACCCATCCAAGCAAGTACTTTGTTCAGGCAGGAGCAGAGGTTGTTTTTGACAGAATGTTGTTCCATGTTGCTGGTTGTTTGGCTGTTTTAAGTTGACTTAGTCATCTTGTTTTTCAAGTGCTGGATTAGTTTTACATGCTTTTATCAGTAATAACTCTCTCGTTTTATTTTCTTCAAATAATAGGTGAAAATTTATTTAGCATTTGAACTTGTAAATAATGATTGCATCTTAAAAATGTGCTTCTTACTAAGCATAGCACTGTACTTGGTGTATTGTGAGTTTATCTGAATAGATTTCATTCTGTTTCACTTACTGTTGTTCCTTTAGCAAGTGTAGCATTGGCATCCCTCAGTGCACAAGAGATCTGCCCAGCTCTTCTCCCAGGACATTGATGTCTGCTGCCAAGTCTCTATCTTACAAAATAGATTTACAGGCAAAGGCATCTCCCTGTTTGAGTGTCCTTTCTAAAACATCATTCTCGCATTAATTATCCCTCCACAGCTGACCTCACGACTGATCTTTAATGGTTACAAGAAGAAATATTGTTGTTAGGACTGAGAAACCACTTACTTGTTTGTGTCCAGATTTGTCACTGACAAATCAAAGCTGGACTATCTCTAATATTAGCTCATCAGTTTGGCTTAGTTTTGTTTTGTGAGCTGGTTGGTGATTTCTTTCTGAATGAGGTGACTTTTTTTCAGGCTTTCTGAGTAAAAAGTAAAGGTATTTGTTTCCACTGATTATTAATTTCATTTTAAATTTAAATGTATTTGTTTTACGTGAAATACTTGCACATACGCTTCAATATATACAGTACCAGGAACAGATCATTTTGAAGCATGACACCTTTCTGCTGAATTCTCCAGGAATCTTTTATCAGGTGACTGACACATCCTTAATCTGATGCTCGGACTTGTCAATTGAATCAATAGTATGCTAGATAGGCTGGCTTCAGAACGAAAGGCTGTTGCAATAGAAGGTATTTGAAATATAAATTCAGATCTTATGACCAGCCACAAACTCCAGGAGCACTTGTTTTTCACTTGTTTCTCTTTTTTATTTATTTATTTATTTTTTTTGTCTATAAACAGTAGGTTAAATTTTTGATGAAAGAGAGTTAGATGAATCACTCTCAGGACAAAATGGCATGTGTAAACCACATAAGAAAATTCTGTAGTTTCTCAAAAATCAATAGCATTTCTTAAAATATAAATTCAATTTATCTATTAAAATTGTCTTTTTGGTTTCTTTGTAGATCTACTTCAAACACTTAGATTTTTATTAATGAAGAACGTAACCCATTTTTATTAGAGGAATTATTGCTATTTGAAATATACAGTGTTTTATGTTATTATTAACAAATACGTAGTATATATGTGTATATGTATATATAGTATGTATATATAGTCTTCTGATAGAAATACTTAAATATAGATCTAGATATGCGTAGGACATAGCATTTTTCATGTTCCACAACCATGGTGCAGATTTAAGAACATTTGAAATAAAACTAAGTTTGACCTATTGTTTTATCTGCCTGCACTTTGAGCAGAGAGAAATAAATGCAGTACTTTTGTGAACGTTAAGATGAGGTCTGAATAGCTTACTAAGGCTTTAGTTTATTTCCCAGTACTGTGAGGAGATTTGGACTTTTTTTTAATTCTCACACTTCCCTGTAGTATATCTAGGCGCTGTGAAATATCATGATGTATTTATTTATAATCTCAATAATTATTTCAATAAGGGATAAGCTTATGCTGTTGAAGGTTATTTACTGTATGAATCTTCAACTTCTGTAATAATCCTGGAAATTTCACTGCATATGGAGACCATTTCTTATAAAGAGAATTTGGTATGGAGTTTTTTAATTATTTCACATAACAGCTTGTTAAAGAACTTACTTAAAGATATTTGATAGAGTTTTGTCCTCTTAAAGTATGTGCTTATACAGTTTTTTTTGTATAGGCATCCATTGTCTAGCGAAAATGCTTTCAAAGAACCGTCCTAACTTGTCTTGTATCTCTAGGAGAAGAGCTGGCAGTTTAGGGGACATTCGGTAATATACAACTAAATAATCAGTAACAGACATTTGCAACACATCAGTAGTTATACAGAATATACAGGTAATTACTGGAAATGGCAAGAATGTTACAAATAAGGATATCAGTCAAAACTTTACTGGGATTGGAAGAGAATGTGAATGTAGGAAAAAGAAGTTTTGAAAGGGAAGACTACTTTATCGCAGGGATGTATTAGCCTTTTAAAACTACTCCTACTTCCATACAGTTTAACTGAAAGCCATTAAGATGAAGAAAGTGAATGTAACAAATATTTTCCAGTACTCCTTTTATGGAGAAGGAGATCAGTGCTTACAAATCTTTCAGTCACTGTACTTTTTTTTTTTTTTTTTTTTAAACTTGGTTGTAGAATATTCTCAAAGAAGTGGGTAGTGGTGCTGTAAATATGGATGATGTGTGTTGGGTTTTCTCATGAATCCCCAGAGACTATCTTTTGGGTATTTGTGCTGAGTGTCTTCAAAAGATTGCTGTGGGAAAACAAGTCAGTAACAGTAGAACTGTGACCAACTGGAAATTAGAATGCTTCTTGCATTTTCATACTTGACGTATTTTTTAAATGAAAATGACTGATTTCTATAGGCAGACTATAAAATTCAAGAGCTGAAGAGCTGAAAACATTACACAGATAAAGCAAGTACAGGCCATGGAGAAATGAGTTCAAGGACTATAAGATGTAAGCATCTATTTTCTTTTAACTTATTCTGAGAAACAGTTTTATCTTAGTTTTTACAACACTGCTCAGTTTTTGTCTCTATTGTATTCTTTGACTGTATGCCAGTTGATAGTTCTGTCCATTCCTATGGAAACCAAGATACTGAAGCCAATCTTGCAAGAGGCTTTAGGAAGAAGTACTCAAAGTTCAGACACCGCCTTGCTTTCAGTCAAAACATCTGATACAACTGGTCTCAAGTCCTACTGGTGCTGTTGGCAGATGTGTTGCCTGAGATGCTTTGCCAGATGGATGGACATGATCAACTTGGAAAGTGGTAAATAAGGTTTTCAGCTATTTGGAATGTTTTTACTTGTGAAACTAGGATGTTGCTAACAAAGTTACTAAAAGATACTTTGTGAGATTAAGCCTAGTGTCAAAATTGGTAGTGTTTTTGCCGTAGTTTACTTGAAAGAATTATTTCACATTATTTCACAACCACATTGCTGGTGGTTTGCTGCACGGAAGACATCACAGCATCCTTGCCTTTTCAGATATCCATACTTTAAATTTAAAAAATCCTTTAAATTATTCAACCTCTCGGTGCATTTTCAATAGGGATATAATTTTGTACCTTCCATGTTTTAATGAAGAATGATTAGTCCAGATATTAAGAACTATTGCTAAAATAGATAAAATAGCATAAGGCCACAATGGTGCACAGAGCTGGAACACTTCTGTGAAGAAATGCTGAGAGAGCTGGCCTTGCTCAGCCTGGGGAAGGCTCTTTGGAGACCTCATTGTGGTCTTCCAGTACCTAAAGGAACCTACAAGTTGAGGAGAGACTCTTCATCACATGTGTAGTGATAGGACAATGGGTAATGGTTTTAAACTGAAAGAGAAGTGGATTCTCCATCCTTGAAGACGTTCACGGCTGGGTTGGATGGGGCTTTGGGCAACCTGGACTAAAAGGAGGTGTTCCAGCTTATGGTAGGGGAGGGGCTTTAATTAGATGTCATTTAAAAGTCCCTTCCAACTCAAACCAGTCTATGATTCTATGTTCCCAATTCTTTCCTTATTCATAGCTTATATATTGAAGTTATATTTATTGTTGAAGACATGAAGAAAAAAAAAATCATTAGGAGCTTGTCTGTAATTCTAATTTTGTGGGTTCTTGATACATAGCAATTAAAATTTATACCAAAATGTATTCACATTTTGACGTACTAAGAATGTATAAAGTGTCATAAGCTTTTTGCTCTATTAACAATATTATATGTGTTAAACTTACATGGCAGCATAGTGTGTCATCACTGGAGAGACAGCCTGCCACTTCGATGGTGACTTTACTCACTTAACTAGAAATTGAGATTCTAAGTAGCTATATTGATTGCACTCTTCCCCCTGACCTGTTCAAAAATTAAAATGAGCAGTAGTATTCGAGTGTCAGAATGGTGCAGTCATTTATACAGTGCTAACAGTTATTGTAAGCAGACATTCTTAATTCAGCTTCAGAGTACTAGAAATGAAGAAGTTTCACTATTTCATACACTTTTTTTATTTTTTATTTTTTAATTCAAAACACACATTTTCTTAATTTTTAACTCTAAATAATTATTTGAAATTTAATTAACATTTTTACTTGCCAGCCTATATTTTAATAACTTTTCTGAAGAATTCTTGTCAGATTTCTGGCAGTTAGCTGATAATATAAGCATATCAAAAGACATCTTTTGATATTTTAATTTCATGTTCTTCTGGAACAATATGCTGTTTATATATATACGTGTATATATAATTAGAAATATAGTCACAGCTAAGTGCTTGGTTTGTTCCCTGAAAAGATACTAAAACTGACAGGTGTTGATGACAAAAAGTCCATCATATGCTCTATGTCATTCTAAGTCATTCTGGGAACATACTTCTCAAAAGGATGCTGATAGATGAAACAATCTCAAAAGAAAGTGTTAGCTAGAATCTGTATAGCCTCTTTTCTTTCCGAAGACATTAGGACTCTTGGGTTTTGAAAATCTGTGATGAAGTTGTTATGTGGAGTGAAGCATCCTCTCTTCTGCACTTACTTGCTGGGAAGAAAAAGCAAGTTTAAGTATGCATGTTTGTTTACGTAGTAAGATTATCTTCTGTAAGACCAAGTAGGTCGAAGACAGCAGTTTCTACCCTGTCTATGAACATGAGTAAAAGAACTCCAATTGCAGTTTTTGTTTTAAAAGAAGGAGCTCATGTATATCTTCATCCTTTTATGACTTAGCCAGCAATTTAGAGTTCAAGTTCTTTGACACTCACTGCTTCTTGAAAGCATCTGATAGTGAAGAGCATTTCTCAACTTCAGCTATAGGATCTGTACTGGTCTGTTGGCAAAGCATGCAAAAGTAGTGCAAATTGGCTGCTATATTCTGTTTAGATTCTTAAGCTAAAATCTGGAAGGTTTTTGTGTTTTGCCCCATTAAGTATCTGAATGCGTAACACAGTTCACTATTTGTCACCATGTAGATATATACTGATTTTAGAGACTTGCATGTCACTACTGAAATTATAGCTTTGTGTTTGACATAACAAAGATTATATCTTAACTCCATTATAAATCCCGATTACTTTTAAGGAGTCCTGGGCTTAAAAAGCTTAATATCTAATCTGACTTTTTATCATCTTTAAATATCAAAAAATGTATTTGGGGCAGAAATAATGGGTTTGAGGCTTTTCTTTGAAAAAGCAGGTAAGTGGCCAGGCATGCTGAATTTCCATGTGTGGTTCCAACTATGGTTCTGTCCCAGGCTGGATCTAAATCAAACAAATTGTGTATGTAAGTGAACATGTAGGCAATAAGCTGTGATGCAATTGTTTTCCTACTCTCAGGCTGTTGTTTTATACTTAGTTATATTGTCTTAATTATGACGTACAGTTATATTGTCTTAATTATGATGTACTAGTTTAAAAAGGAAAATTAAAATGCTAATAATATGCTGTAAAAGTATAATCACTAGCCAAGCCGTGACTGGTGCAGTATTAGAAAAGCAGATTTGTTATAAGTTTGCAATTAACAATAATAACTTAGCAGCTTTGTGGTTGTTTGTTTCCAGAAAGAGTAAAAATAAGTGAATTATATTCCTCAGAAGAGGAGTTATTGATTATTAAATAGTTTTTCTTTTTATGAAAGAATATAGAGAAAATAGTAATAAAACATTTTTCATAAGTGCTACTTAATAATATATTTCTAAAATCAAATTTAGTAAGCTAACACATTATTAAACTACGTATAATTATCAGATATCTTAGATCCCTTCTGTCACAGATGGTCAGTTTGCTGTATCATTATTCCCTCTCTGTTCTCTTGGAATGCACTCCTTTCAAACAACCAGACCTTTGCTTTCCCTGCTTTGTGGTGACTTGTTTTTCCACTTGTCTGCAATGTTCTGTGCGCTCACTGTGTGGGCTTAGTTATGGCCATTTGTTGTGTCAGGAGCTCTTATCAGTAGTTAATGTCTGATGTTAGTAAGTCTCATTTTAACAGCACAGAAACAGCAAGGGACAAAATGAAAAATACTGTTAATCATCTAAACATTCTTCAGGAATCATGGAAGTTTGGGTTTTGGAGTCCTTTGTTTGGAATACTGGCAAGTAATGTCTTATATAGAGAGAAAAGTAACAGAGAAAAGTAGTTTATTTCACCTCGGTAACATGCAAGGATTTGAAGTAAGTTTCTAAGGGATAGTCTACGATATTATTCTGTTAACATCAGTGTCTCAAAGCTTGCTGGGGACACAGATGGACTTGTTCAAGTCCAGGCAAGTCCTGGGCAAGGGTTGTGAAATCCTTTGTGTGGGGGACACAGATGGACAAGGCCAGGGACGACGAGAGAGAGATGAGCTGCAGCTAAATTGCTGTGAAGTGTTCTTTTGTGGGGGCTTACCTCAGGATGATGGCCATCTCAGGGGGTACTCAATGACTCTTGGTCAAGACCCATCCTTGTCACATCGGCAGGAGAACAAGAAGGATAAAAGAGGAACCGAAAACCATGAGAACGGGTTTTCTGGCAACAGACTCCTCATGAAGAAGAACAGAGGATTTCGTACAACAGATTCCTCACAAAGTGATGCCTGCATGCTGAAGTAGAAGAAGAGGTGTCTGACATCAGATTCCACACACTACGGAATTCCTGCATGCTGACGGACTCTCCTGGGCCTGTTGCCTGAGCACTGCTGCTGCCTCCCGGACTGGCTCTGCAACTGCATCCTGCTACCTGCTTGCTGCCCAAGGCTGCCATGCTGCTGCTTCCTCCCTGCTGCTTGTGCCTCGGACCTTCAAACATTGTGAAACAGGACCGCTGCTGGATCCTGGTGCTGACTATCCCCGCTTTATGCAATTCTTGCTTCTTTCCTATCTTTTCTATCGCCCTCCTTCCCTTCCCCATCTCCCTGATTAGGATTTGTAATAAACTGGTTGGACCAACATATGAACCGTTGTTTCTTAATCTCACGCCGGGTATACAGATACTAAAAGAACTTCATCTCCCTCCTATAAATTGGAGCAAGACAGATAGATATGTAAATGTAAATAGAAACAGTGTAAGATGTACACTACTTTATTGAACATTCTTCGAGACTAACCTGACATTTTGCTAACTGATTTTCTAGAGGTAAATTCAACAGATAGCCTTTGTTAGGCCTGTAGAAAAGCATTAAGTGTTGTGTGAGGTGGAAAATTGCAGTTAAATGGAAAATTAGGACACTAAAAGTATGGTAAATAATTGGATAATAAGCTGAAAGCAAGTACTGTTGAAATATGCTCTATGAGATAGGAAGGAATATATTAGAATTCCTCAACAGATGCGCTTGAATCTAGTATTAGTCAATATTTTTAATTAAGAAACTTGGCATTACAAGTAGTACTTTTTTGAAGGACAAGATAAGGCATTATTATCAGTTGAAGACAGGATTTGCGTGTTCAGAATACTAGAAGTAGGAGAGAATACTAAAATAGAAGAAATAGGAGAATACCAAAATAGGCTGAAGATGTGATGGTCCATAATGCAGTTTCACGTGCACGGAAACAGAACAATTTATTCTGTACGTTGGGAACATTTAATTTTGAAATGACTGCAAAAGGATGTCAGTGTGCTAATGGATTGATTGGCAAGGTGAATGTACTTTTAGGTTTGTCTAACAAGATACTTGCACTAGCAATAGAGAAGTATTTTTGCCATTCAGTAGGCTACGCAGTGAGACCTATGTAATCTTTTCTTACTTGTGCTCAAAAAAAAGAGTTCAAACTAGAATGAATGCAGAGAACTAGCAATGGTTTGAGGGAAACATAGGGCTTAGCCTTTATTACTGAGATGAAAAGGCTAATGCTTGTGTTTAGGTTTTAAAACCTATGCTATACTTTCATAGGTAGAAAGATTGAAGCGGAAGGGGAGAAGAACTCTTAATGAAGATGAGACTGAGAAAAATGTGGATAAAGCAACATGTTAATTCCAATTAAATATCTAGGATTGTATTGAAATGTATCCATTCAGAACTCTATATCTTTCCACTACTGTTTGATATCATAATGTAGGAAACAAAAATATCTGCTACATTCTTTTTAATTTTGAGTATTGAAATATTTTCACAGCTATATTTTTATGGTAGTGTTCTGTATGTTAGATTGGTTGGCCTATTGTGCCATTGGAATGCCAGGTACTAGAGATGGATAATGCTATTTAAATCTTCTCAATAATAATACCAAAATAATGATTGTTCTAAGTGTTGCCATGCTACTGAGCTGCTTTGAACTAAGGGCCAGAAGGAACCTGTGTTTGCTTGTGTGTTTTGGGGGCTGAAACCTGGACCAGAAGGGCCTCAGATATTAGTGTGGCTTCATGTTACTGGGATTCTTTTCTTTACCTAAACCTGTGTGCCCATGTTGGGTTCAGCTGTGTATCAGGTATTCCATCAATCCAGTACTTCTCCAGAGAAGAGGAGTATTCTAAAAAAGTATTGTAAAAACTGTATTGTTGTTACATTGTTGTCATCTCTGGTGATGTTTTTTGTGGTTTTCTTTTGGTTTTGTTTGTTTCTGTTTTTAATCATAAATTGTTTGGAAGAAACAGAATGTTTTGTGTTTCAGAATGAGGGGATTTACTGCAGATTCATTTCCTAAGGAGGGGTATTTGTTGCTGGCTAAGCATGCAACAGAATAATGTAGTAGTAACTGGTAGAAAAATGGTAACAGCAAAGATAAAATAGAGTACAGGGAGAGAAACTAGTAATGAAAATGCATGTTTCCTTAGTTATAACTCTAATAATAAAAATACGTTCCCTTAGTTTTATGTGTCTTTTTAACTTTCAGTCTTCTTAGCCACTCAATTCATTCTGAAGGCACAGTATATTTGTAAATCTTTCAATAAGTATCCATCAACAAAAGAAAATTGTGTTTTATTTTTCTTTCACGTGTGTGCATGGACATTGATTAGGAAATAATGAAAACAAAACAAATGTATTATCTTCTGTGATAGAGAATAGCAGCTATACTTCTTCCAAGTCTAATATTCTCTCAAGTTATTTAATGTTGTCTTTCCACAGTATAATTGCCAACCACAGCATGATACATTGCATTTTTTTGCTAGTTTTTTTTTTTTCTTTTTTAATGAGTTTTACAAATTCTTCATATATTTACCTGTAAAATATGATGGTAATAATGGAAAGTTTTCTTGTCCCTAACTCATCCTCAAATTTATTACTAATTCATATTGTATGTGTTCTGCATGGATTAGTAGGCTGTGCAAACATTTTCCTGTTCTGCAGTTGTATGTCAGTGCATGCCTTGGCACATGGCTGTGTGTTAAAATGATAGAATGCTAATGTTATGCTTCCTGTGATATCGAGCAGGAAAAAGAGAATTAGTCACTCACTACTTGCTGAACTTGCTGTGAATGCTGTTGACTGTCTCTGGCAACAGAAGTTTGCATTTGCACACAGGTTTGTAGTAGAATTCTTGGCAGATGTAGGGCTTTTAGGGCTTTCACTGAAAAGCAGGGGTCAATGACGACAAACTGTAGAAGCAGAAAAAGGTTATTTTGGCTGAGCATATTCATGATATGTCTTACCTGTTTTTTATTTTGAAATAAAATAGCATAACAGGAATAAAATAGTCACATATACTTGTTTTAGGCATACTTGATCAAATCCACTCTGCTCAAATAGAGCTCAACTCTACTGGACAAAGACCAGAACGGTAATGAGTGAAATCTGCCCTTCCACTCTTTAAGGCTGCTGTACCACATTTTGAAGAAAGAAACAGAAATATTTGTATACCCTGGCACTGGATACCGTGGGGATCTCTGGGATTCTTTGGCCCATCTCTACCCTACCATTATGGTGACAAATCAATTCACAATTCTGAGTCTTAGAATATACAGAAGTACTTCCATTCCTTATAATTGCTTCCACTTGTCCACATGGCTACATTTTGTTTCTGTTGTTATTTCCATTGTTGTTTTTTTTTTTTTCCCAAGGGAAACGTAAAGGGACTAAGTTAGCATACAGGATTTGTGAAAGTATTATAACAGACTGGAACATGTTAATTTGCAGGTTGTTCCATAAGCAGAAGAATCCAAAGATATGACTTCTGTTGCTCTGTATGTCACCTTTCCTGTGTACGTTGTCTATTAAAGCTTGATCAAATACTGCAGCTTATTCCTGAGTGGATGGAATTAGTACTATTAATACTATTAGTACTATTTCTCTCCCTTCCTGAACATTCTCTTTTTGTTGTATTTTTGGTTAATTAATATTTTAATTGTATATGAAACTGACATAGCCTAATGTTTTGGGGAACACGGAGAAACAGTTCACTCCTTTCTCTTTAGGTAAGCTGTGGAAAGAATGGAGATGTTTAAAACACACAAGTTTTTCTAACTTCAAATATTTTGCTTTAATGAGTTATTACTCCAGCTCTCTATTGCTGATTCTCCATTGAAACTTAACTGCTGAGAGTAATTTCAGAAAAAACCCAATGTGCTTGGTACTGAAGTGAAAGCATCAAAATATCTTATGTAGCATTTCAGCTTTGTGGGAGATAATCTTCAAGTAAGGGACAGAAGCAAATCAAGGCTCAGTTTGCAACAACTTCTTAATGATTGCATGATTATATTTTTAATTTTTGAAAGGTTTCCTTGATAACTTGAGAAACAGATACAAATTGTTTTTTTGGAGGAGGAATGCACCCTGTTATTAGGTGCAGGAGCATTTCTATATTATTTCTTCTGAAAACATAGTAAGTCCAGAGTGTTAAGTATTTGAAACGAATGTTACAAGGCTTCTTGTACCATCCATTCATCATGCACACAGTAGATCAAAACTCGCATACAGATCTCTGTTTAAAATTATAAGAAATAGTCTTTTTTTTTTTTTTTTACTCATTCAGATGAGCTCATTTTCTCTTTCTAAATCATGTCATGTTATTTTTCTTATTCTCATTTTGAAAATTGTAGTCTTTCTTGTATTTAGTTTTATTCCTTATCTGATATCTGTCTGTCTGCTGAAGCCATATCTAATGGTTTTATTTCAGTTGTTACATGGTGAGCCAAGTCTTACACTCTACTACAAGAAAATATGAACTTAAATGTTTTGGTTTCCTAAAAATCTTAGAGGTGTTGTTTATTGTGATAGAAGTGTACTGTTGTTGTGAGTCAAGAGTAAAATATCAAAACAGTACTGTCATTTTGCTTTATAAACTGAAATTTCTCCTCATTTTCCTTTCCCAGGGAAACTATCGCTTCATGAAAGTTTTACTGGCTCGTAGGGGGAACTGGATGCAGAAGGATTTAGAGGGTATGACACCGTTACATTTAACTACACGTCACAAAAGCCCCAAATGTTTAGCTTTGCTGCTAAAGCACATGGCACCTGGAGAAGTGGATACCCAGGACAGAAACAAGGTAAAAAATATTACTTATTTTAAGACAGTGTTTGTAGCGGGTTTAGAAATTGAAGTTGCAAAGAACAGTTGTGTGGAAAAAAGTATTTCAGTACTTTAAGAAAATTTTTCTGATTCTTTGAATTAGCAACAATCGGGGATATTATAGTGATCACCATTAACAATATTAAGATTTTCCCAATGATAATAATGTAATATGTAATTGTAGCTAGTTCACTGACACTTGTGTTCAGAGTACTGAGACTAGTAGAGGAATGGAGACTTTGTAAGCATTCAGAAAAAAAGCTTTCTTTCTACAATTTGTAAGTGATCTTGGAACTCATGCAAAAAATGTTCCCATCAGGCACTGATCTACCATTTGATTCAAATGTCAGTGCTCCAATCAAGTACTTGTATCACTTCATGATTAACATACCAATTTGGCAAGACTGGCTTTAGAAAGCATCGTCATACCATCAGTTGTATCTCATGTGGTTTGTTTTTATTGTATGAAAAGAAGACTGGGCTTTCTAGCAGTTTCATTATGTAAACTCTGAAATCCTTATCTAATTCTATCATCAGGGAAGCAGAATAAGGCATCTGCAGGCTCCCTTTCCAACAAATGAATCTCCTGTCTTCTCCAGACAATAGAGTTGAAGCAGCCTGTGCCCTAGCAATCAGCTGTTTGCCTTCCAGGGTGTTCTAACATGTATCATGGAAACCCTGGCTGTAATTACAGCATTCAGTCTGGAGAGGTCATGCTGATTCCTGACCATGTTAATTAATTAACAAAAGCATCTGGAAACCAGCCAAAACCTCTTAGGGACCTTGCCTTTTGTTCTACAGATTTCCAAAGCAGTATTAAAGCATTGCCAGATTTTCCACAAAACGTAGAGCACTTTTATTCCAGTTCCTGTCATGAGTAGTCAAAGTAGCAAGGATGGAATTCAGGCTCTCTTGGGAACAGAGACCAACAGGTTCAACCCTGGTTGGCACGTAGCTTATTCGTTTCCCTTACTGCAACTGTATGCATCAAGATTCTCAAATTTAATTCATGAAAATGTCAGAGAATAACTGTATTTTACATTTATTTCTGGGTAGGCAACTGGTTGAGAAGTAGATTGTGAGAGAAGCCAGTAAGGGAAAGCTGCTTTGGTTTGTTAGTAGTGAAACCTTTTTAGTCCCATGTGCATTTGTCAGCTTTAGCTTTGCTTAAGAAATAGCGTGTGTTAACTTCTTTCAAACTTCTACTGCTAGAAGTTTTTAATTTCAAAATCTGACAGACTGCAATGGATTGAACATGCTATGGTGCTAGGCTATATGTCACTGTATGTGGTGTAAGTTTTCAAACTACTTCTTTCAGCCCCTCTAGTTATGTCTTAGGGTGAGCTCTTTTTGAGTGAGCAACTGAGTAAACAAAAATTTTCAATATCATACTATGTTACCATGGTACGAAAATAACAGCCTAAAGCAACAAACACAAAGAATAGGCTCCTTTTGCCTTCTTCCTTTACAGAGGTGTAAAGGCTAGGGTAATAAATTCACACATTATATCTTACTATTCAAGGATGCTAATTTAGACACAAATGTCTTGCAGCAGTTAATCTCTCCAATTTCAAATCAAAGCGCTATGTAATATTTTGCTGACGTGTGAGGGTAAGGAAAAGAGGGGGAAATGAAATCTTTCTGCTTCTTATAACCCTAATGTATTTGGCAGTTGGGAGGTCTGTGTCTGCTCAGTAGATTACGTATTAATATACTAACATTTGCTTTTGTAATGATGAATGTTGATAGCACATGTGAAAAACACTGAGTGTCAGGTATTAGCAATATGAGCATGAATTTACTTGGTGTTTTATTGGACTGCTGATGGTCCATATAGATTAGATTCAGTTGTACTCAACCTGTGGAATTCTGAGTGATAAAGGACAATGTCAAAACCTCTGTTCAAAACAAATCAGTGTCTAGTGTCAGTATTCTGCGCCATCTTGTTCTAGCAGAAAATAATCTTTTCATATGCTTTTCCATTAATCTCTGTCATTCTGAGAAATATCTGAATCGAAGAAAACCTAACTAATCACTGCGGTTCTGTGTAGTGCAGCTCTGTTATTGAGACCTGCTTCAAGATTATTCTAACCTGGACATGATTGCTTAATACCAAGGTCCAGTATTTTCTCTAGGCCAGAAATTGCTGCACCTGATGACATTACCCTATTGGCTGGCTAAGTGCCATGTATAGTATCCTCTTGCCATAGCCAAAGCATCCTCATACAAAGCAATTAATTTTCTACCAGAAATACTTACATCTCAAGCATAAGAACTTCTCAAAGTGGTTATCATGTAAGATGGTGTGGCTTAGACTCAGGTCAAGCTTTAGCAAAGATCTTTGAGTAGCTAGCTATTCTTCACTTAAATAGAACTCGATCTTTTTAAAAGCCTGTGATTTTGAGTTGTCATTCACCCTAGGTACTGATGTTCCATTTACTGTCAATCCTTTTTACCGAAGTATAACAAAAGATGGCTTGTTTACTGTTGTTTCAAGCTGATTTTATCTGGGATTAATGCCTATTATCTGCATAGAATATTCTCTACCAGACACCAATATTGAGAGGCTGTTGCATACTTGAAAAACACAGGACTCTTATCTTTATCCTACATTAAGTATTTCTTCAATTTAGCGATACTTGTGCAAATCATTTAATAACCTTCCCTCTGTAGTTTCCAGACATCTTGGAATTCAGCTCAGCTCAGAATTCCAAGGTAACTGGGATGGGCTTGTGGTTTATTCACATCATGCGCAGGAACACAAAAAACTGCAACCTTTTCCTGGGGAAAAGAAGACTGAGGGAGGGTGTGGTTAATGTTTACAAATGTCTGAAGGGAGATGGGAAGCAAGTGGATGAGGCCAGGCTCTTCTCAGTGGTGTGTAGCAAAAGGACAAGGAATAATGGCCTAAAACTCGATTGTAGGAAGTTCTGTACAAACATGGAAGAACTTCTTTGTGGTAAGAGTGGCAGAGCACTGAAGCAGGGTGGCCAGAGAGGTTGTGGAATCTCCTATGGAGAAGACCTGTCTGGATGCCTACCTTTGCAACCTATTGTAGGGTACCTGCTTTTACCAGGGGGTTGGACTTGATGATCTTTCAAGTACCCTTTCAACCCCTGCAATTCTGTGATTTTCAGGTAATATATTTATGTCAACTGAAAATGCAGTGGCAAATATACAAAAAAAAAAAAAAAAAAAAAAAAACCAACAATTTTTTTTCAGCAATCCTGAAACCTGTTCTCAAATTCTTTTATCAAAATGGAAAGGAAGACTGTGCATTTTTTGCTGTTCACAGAACTGTGTTTAGCCAGTGGGTCAAAATGTACACTTTTTTATTTGCTGTAACTTGAGCAGGCACTGTATGGCACCCTCCCTGTGCCCTGGTTGCAGCTCAGCGTTAATAGCTTGCTGACATTTGACTGTTGCTGAGCAATGGGTGTGTTCCTGGGACCCAACTAGGCTACTTGGTGCGGCAGAACCTCAGCTGGGGGTAGATGGCGTGGGACAGGGCCTGCGTCGCATTACTTGTTAGGCTGGGCCACATGCGGGTGGTGGGTTGGGTATGCATGGCTGAGGAGTTCTGCTAGACATCAAGTTGACCACAAGCCAATAGTGCTACCTTGCAGCAGAGAAGGGCAGGCATCGTCCTTGGTTGCATTCAGTAGAGGAGGTGATTCTTCCCTTCTCGGCACTAGAGATACCACATATGGCACAAGAGTACAAGAAGGCCACGAGCTTACTGGCGCAAATCCAGTGGAGAGCTGCAGAAGTGACTAACAGTTTAGAGCATCTGACAGAAAGGAGAGGCTGAATGAGGTGGGACTGTTTAGACTGAACAATGCAAGGTTCAGGAGAGCTCTTACAGATGTACATAAATAGCTGGTGGGAGGAAATAAAGAAAATGGAATGAGACCATGCTAAGTGTCAACTGTCAAATTGAAAGAGGCAATGCACACATTTTGATATTCAAGAAATACCAAAGTTGATATTTAAAAGTGGGAAAAGACATGTTTTGTTTTGTTTTTCCATCATGAGGGAGGTTAAAGGTGGAGCAGGTTGTCCAGAGAGGTTGTGAAGACATTCAGAATCTGACAGGACTGTATTCTGATGAACCTGTTCTAGCTGGCCCTACTTTGAGCAGGAGAGCTGGGCTAGGTTGTCTCTAGAGATCCCTTCCAACCTCAGATATTTTTCAACTCTGTGCAAATATAACTAAATCATATTTCAAGTTCTAACAGACTTTGATTTTCATCTTTTATGTATTCTTTACCATGTTTGTAAAACGTGATTATTGTGTTCCAGCAAACTGCATTGCATTGGAGTGCCTACTACAATAACCCTGAGCACGTGAAACTTCTCATAAAACATGATTCAAATATAGGAATCCCAGATATTGAAGGAAAAATTCCACTTCACTGGGCAGCAAACAATAAGGATCCTAGTGCAATTCACACAGTGAAATGTATTCTGGTAAGAAAATCTATTGTATACCCTTTTGGTATTTATTACTTTTCTGTGATATAAATATTTATTGTTTTCTTGAGATGTTTCTTATGAGTCCACTGAAAAGTTATATAATTTTCTGATACCTAGAAGTTAGTAAGAAACCATCTCAGATATTTTTGCCACATTGAAGGATGTTTCTTCCATGTTGTATAAATTAATATCTTTGCTCTAAATCGTGTGTTACCTATATTCTTCTGATCAGTTTCATGTGTAACTATTCATTTTGAGAGTTTTTAACTTCTCCTACTTAAAATGAACATAACACATTACTCATCTCAATTGCATGGTGAATTCTGTTGTGTGTCTTATCATCATTTGGAAGTTTATTTTTTGCTAACTACTGTAATACCAAATTTTGTCTTTTGAGTTAGAATTCTGGGAAATAATTGATCAGTGATCAGTCAGCTGTTGGTCAGTTCATTTGAGAGACTTTCCAAATATTTTTTCTGTTCATATTTAATAATTCTTCTTTGATACCATATTTTCTTTCTAATTTCACTTCCTTAGTTGACAGCTGTAATGAGTACATTGAAATCATGCCCTTAGCTTGATTTCAACCTTGATTTTTTGTTCCATGTAAATCTCTAAACTTCACTAACCTGAAAAGATGCAGAAGTCTCAGTTTAATTTTCACTCAATATAACAATCTCTCTACACCTCTGCCTTTCAGAGGTTTTCCAGAACAAGGCACATTGGTTGTAGGCTAACTATGACTTCTGTTTGATTACATTGCAAGCTGAGAAGTTACCCCTGGCATGTGAAAATTCCCCCTGGCATGCGGATTCTTACCTAAATCACACTGATAATCTTTGCTGATATGCTTTACAATAAAAATAGTTTTTGAAAAATTCCCAGTGTTTTATTAATGTGATTTCTGTATTACTTGTGTTTATTCAAAATATTTGTAATTTCACTCTAAATTGTTACAAACAAGATTAAACCAATTTTAATTTATATATCCCATCTTATTATTCTGCTACACTAGGAAAATGAGTTTGTTGAAAAGTTGGTATGGATTGCTGGATTAAAATTTAGACTTTCAAACTTTACATGATCAAGAACATGGCGTAGTGGACAACATTGGTGGTAGGTGGGCAGTTGGACTAGTTAATCATTGAGGTCTTTTCCAGCCTTAATGATTCTATGATTCACATAACACATTGACCCCAGCCAGTTATTGTGAGGACCCAGGCCCACACATAAACACTCACTTGCTTCTCTCCAATATGGCAGGGAGGAAATAGGAGGAAGGTGTACTAGGAAAATTCAAAAATATGTCATTTCCTAAAGGTGCTTTCAAAGTCTCTGTTTAAGTAATCCAGTGTTCTAACAGTATCATGATTGTTTTTTTTTTTTTATTTGTTTGTTTTCTCCTCTGACAGCCAAGATGGCGCATTTTTGTGTCCCTCTAGTCTTTTCCTATGCATTTCTGTATGAACCAAATTGTTCATATTGCGCTGTTATAACTATGTGTGCTTATTGGTGAGCATAAGATATTACAAGTTAAATGAAAAAGCAGTTTAGCTCCCAGAATATGCTGTGAAAGTTGATGCTAAGGAAACGTTATTACTGGATAATCTGATGATCAGATTTGTTTTTTAGTATAAATACCTTTTCTTTTTGTGTGTGTGTACTTCTGAATTTAACCCAATAGTAAAATTTTGTCATGTCTTAGAACTTGTTTTTCTTACCTATCTTTTTAGATACCTGCTTGGCAGTGTTAAGGCAACAAAACTAAAGCAGAGATTATCTTGCCCTCCTTTCTTAGTTGCTTTTTATCTTATTACCCAGTTCCAAATCTATTGCCCAAGCATTACCTTTGTTTCTCTTACTTCCCCATCCCAAACATCCAGGTTAACTCTGTAGACATTCTAATTCTTTCTGCATGTTGTTTCTAACACATGCATCCATGCAGATAAAGTTTTTATTATTTTGTGTTTGAACTTACATAATGGCGTTTCTAAATTCACCAGAAGAGTTTTGTAGTGACGATAGTGCAAAAGATCTGTGAGTCTGACGAAGTCACTGTTGCCCTTCAGTTGCGCTGGCCTTTTTATTTTTGGTCATATCCAGCACAGACTTTGTGCTTTCTTGATAGAGTGCTATAAGCTATGTGCTCTTGCTCAGATAGCGGTCAAATATTGATGTGTAGTACCACTTAATGTGCATTGGAAGCACTTGTTGCTGTTGAACAAGTTATGAAAAATAACACTGCTGTTGTTTCTGTCATGTTATCTTAAATACTGTGGAAGAATTCCACAAAAATGATTTTTCTTTATCATCCTACTTAGAATTGTTCTATGCTGCTGCACAAAACCTTGTCAAAAGTTAAGCTGCTGCTTTTATTCAGACCACAGTGCGTGATACTGAAAAATACTGTCTTGGTTTTCTGTGCTCTGCCATCTGAATGTGTCCATTTGTTGTCTCCTGTTTTTAAATCCATAAAAGAATGGTCATTCTACCTCATGTTCACACAGTACTTACCCATTGGGATTGTAAGAATAATAATGAAAAGAGCTCAAGTCAATGCTAAATAAGAAAGTTTGTTTACAGTGGTGGCAAAGAAGCACAATTGATTGCATCTAGTATCAGAATCCATGAAATACAGTGAAAATGGAACCACTTACGTTTTACAGAAATTAAACGTGTGAAGTAGAGAGAAATTCTCATCTGGAGGTCCTTTCATGGTCAACTTCCTTTTCCACCTTTCCAGATTCAGCAGTGCTTGGTTACATGAAAAACCTTGGGAAGATTTAAGGAGAAAAGAACAGGATATAGTTCCATTAATATGATGGAAGCAACTGCTTAGTTCTCTGTCTCTGTTTTGTATCTCTTCTCTTTATTTATTCTTCATGGTAAGAGACATGACATTTATTTATACAACACTTTCCACTGTTGCCTGCAATTCCATTGTTCTAATTGCTACGGGAAAAAAATGTGTAGCTTCTGTTTCTTCTGTGTACTGTGTTTAAAATATTAATGATGTATGACAGTTCAGTTATAGCTGGTTCTACAGCAGAAGCACTTACAGTACAAAGAAATTATGCTCTTCAGCGTGGGCAAGAGGTTCCCTACAAAGTTTTAGCCAAGTAGCCAAAAATTTGAAAACATGAGTACTTCTAAACTAGAATGTAAACAGTGACTTTATCATTAAGAGATTCTATTTTCATTTGAAAAAGTGATGCTATGGACCATTGGATATGTTTGTAAAATATCGGTCACTTTCAGCCAAGAGGATTCATTTATTTGGCCTTTTGCTTTGGAAGGTTCAAAATTAAGCTTTCTAGTTTATGTCAATAAATAACAGGTAAAGAGAAGAATAATTCTTACCTCTTGCCTGTTTTGTTCAGACAGATTTTCTTCTGGTGCAGGTTAGGTCTTGGGCATATCATTTGATTTTAGTGATTCTTAAAAGTGATTCTCAAATATCATTTCTGATTTTCCAGCAGTGGGTTCTACACTCCCTCTGCTGAGCAGTTTAAGTAGACAGAAATGAAGCCTAGTGACAGCTTGCTTCTGAGCACTACTAAAGCTAGGGAAGAGCATTCCACTGTAATGACTCAGAAAAATGCAGTTGAATGCTTATTAGAATAAGTGATATTCATGCTTTGATTACTGTGTTTTTTCCATGTAACAACTTCGAGTTTATTTTTAATTAGAGATTCATATTTATCAACTTCTGTGTTTTTATTAGATCATCTGTTATTGTGCTAGCAGCTAGATATAGTAATGAATGACAATATGTTTCAAGTAGCATAATTTTTTTGGTCTAGTAAACCGTGGCTAATACTACTGATATAAAAATGGCATCCGGTATTGTAGGTGTGTAAGATGGAGAGCACACATATCAGTTAAATATAATATAGAAAATATATGATGTTTCACTTCAGAAAAATTAAATATTAAGAAGTCTAAATTGACGTTTTCAAAAAACTAAGATGCAAAGAACCAGGGCACTGCAGATGAAATTCCTTCTGCAGTATTAATGTAGCCAGATGGCACTTAAGAAATATGATTAAATTTATTTTTATCTATTAAATAGAAAATATAGAATGTACAGCCTTGTAGATTAATATTGTGGTAGAAATCATATCCTGACTTTCTGCTGCTTGATTTAATGTTCTCAGTGTTTGGTGTTAGTTTTGTGTAATGCTTACTGCATTTCAAATAATGCAAATACAAGTAATTTTACGATGTAGCTGTGTACCTCATAAAGTCTATAGGAAAAATTTCAATTATTTTAAAGAGAAAAGGATCAGGAACTTTGTTTTGTTAACAAGCTGCTGTTCACAATCTCTCCCTCCTTTTCCATATATTGTGGAATATAGTGTGGCACATTATTTTCAGGATGATCATTTTTCTTGGTTGTCATGGTTCAAAACCCATTCTACTGTTAGAAGTCATTATAGTGTAAAAATCTCAAGACTCTCTTTCTTTTTTGCACAAGATTTGCACATGACTTCAGTGCATTGTTTTGAATCATTGGAAATAGAACAACAGATATAGACCCTGTAGTTTATTTAAGCTCTTATTTTGACATCTTTCTTCTAGATGTTTGGTGCCCTGCATCTTGAATTTCTGCTGATTGGCTTACTGCTTTCTCTTGAGCTACTGCTTTCTTTTCTGGAAGATGAAGTTTGGAGTTATTTTTTTGTGGGGCTTTATCATTTGGAGATCTCTTTCACCATTTGGAGATCTCTGCAGCACTGAAATAATGATAATTTGAATCTGCTCTTTTGTCTGAGAAAGAAATTCATGAAGAGCGATCTGTGTAGAAAAAAAGCTGATGGAAAGGAATCATCGTACTATAAATCTATATACCATGGGGGCTTATGTGAAAGAAATGTAGCATATTTTTTAATAAAATGTGATGAAAATTGTCAGTATATCTATTAATTGCTATGTTACATACTCCAATAAATAATCATAGTACTTTTAAAGATTTTATGTTTGAAATTAAACTCGTTACAAGTAGATATGTTTGTTTGAAGTTCTCTCTTATCCTGTCAGCTTCACATTTCTGGAGGAAATACTCTGATAGTCACATGGTTTTAAAATGCTAGGAAAAGTAATATAATGAAAGCTATAAGACTAATTTGTGCTAAAAGGAGAGTATCATAGGAGAAGAGTATGTTGACAGGTATGTTGTGTTCGATTTAGAAAATTAAGTTAAGAAGATGTAGTTATTTTCACAGGAGTCTGAGATAATCTTTTGAGGATCTATGTAAAAAGTCACTTGCATTACAGATTGACAAAACCATAGCTTGTAAAGTTATATTCTACTGAACAAGGACAGTTTATTTCTGTGAGACTCCAGAAATATCTGTGAAGAGCGTACAGTTTTTCTCTTTGCCTCGAGTACTTTTTGAATTTTGTATTTTTATTTTTTCTTAAAGGAAGCTGCACCTACAGAATCTCTGCTTAACTGGCAAGACTATGAAGGGCGAACTCCACTTCATTTTGCTGTTGCTGATGGGAATGTGGCAGTTGTTGATGTCCTGACCTCCTACGCAGGCTGCAATGTGACATCATATGACAACTTGTTTCGAACTCCTCTTCACTGGGCTGCCTTACTTGGTAAACTGGACAATGCCAAAGTCATTTAATAATTCATTGACTGCAGTATTTAATCTCTGTATCTGTTTTTTATTTAATTCCGGCATTTTATTATAATCTCTCAGAACAATAATACTCAGCTTCTGCTAGACCAGTACTAGAATTTTGTGTATAGAGCGTTATTTCAGCCTTAGATTCTCCAAAGCACTGTAAAATACATTATTTCAGCAAGCTGTGTATACTCATGATATAAGAGAAGCTAGAGTATGTGAAATGTTCTTGCCTGTAGGTTTGTTCATAGGTTTAGAAAAGAAATTTCTCTGGAAAATAGTACTGAAAAAAACCTGCTGCTCTAGAGCAGTAGTCTCTGAAGAGGAATGTGTGCCCAAGACAATGTGTTGAAATGCATGAAGAAAACTGCCAAACTTACATTTCTTTTTTATCTTAAAAAAGATAGGAATTAGACTTTACACTGTCTTCATGTCAGGACAGTCATGTACAGTTCAAAAGATGCCCTGAGGGTAGTGTTGCTGTTCCACAATGCTGAGAGGCTGATTGTCATACAATTACTCATTCATTTGCTTTCAGCACGTTGCAATGTATTGTGGTTTCTGTGTACACAGTGAAGTTGGTTTACAGGTTGTATTATCTAGTTTTTACCAAATAACCCCTCACAATCAGACAAGCGATTTAAGAAGATTCCTGAAAAGTAACTGCAGATCAAAGATAATGGTGATAGTGTCAATACAAGCAAAAAACAAGAACATGGCAGAGCTTGTGCATCTCCTACTGCTAGTACTCTTTATTAGCCACGTTATGAGGAAAAACAAAAATAATCATATGTGACTAAAAGTTGGCTCCAAAACTTAGAAATAATAATTAAGACTATTTGAAGTATGGATTGACATTATTGTTAACAATGATCTTGCCCTGAATGCAAAAAAGAAATTAGCTAATAGTCATAGGAAGCTATGGTGATTAACAAGACATTCAAAAGCTAAGTAACAAGAACATGAAAATAAACCTCTACAGTTTTTTCAACGGTGTTTCAAGTCATATGATAATCCACATACATAGTGTTTTACAAAATTTCACTAAACTTTACAAGAAAAATGCAAAGAATTAGGGAAGCACTCATTCTTCCTGCCTATGGTAAAAATGGCTGAAATAATGCTTGGAAAACAGTATGGCATCAAACTGGAGTGCATTTCTTTGTCAACAAATGCTGTAGAAAACGTTGCTGAAGTTTTGAAGAAACTGATATTAGAGTAAGGTACACAGTGTGGGAGGCTTGCAGTACAGTTGAATGAAATTACAGATGTTTCTGTCTCAGCTTATGGTATTTGCTAGATTCTGTTTCAGTAATGAAATTGACAGAGAGCTAATGTTTTTGTGAGCCACTAGAGGGAAGATGTACTGGAAAAGATGTATTTTCAACAGTAAATGATTTGATAAAAGCAGTGCTTATGGAAGAACTCTGTAATTACTTATAGTGGGGCTTTTTTGACTGGAATAAAAATTGATTTCAGGGTATAGTTGCACAGCTAGTATCACACATGAAATTCATTCACTGTATCATTTGTATACGTGCTGTAGTGGCAAAGAATTAGAAATCTGAAATGCACAAAGTACTGCAGAGTAACTCATCCATGCATTTAGTTTTATAAAAACAAGACCTCCAAATGGTAAGAATGCTCTAAAATTCTTTCTGATGAGGTGGGAAGTGGCCTTGAAGTTATTTTGGTTTTCTCCTCACAGAGTGCATAAGAGGCTTGTTGAACTATGATTTGCCAATACGAATAACCCATTTATTGTGCCTAATGACTTAGAATTCTGACTTATCATATCAGCCTTTTCTCCTTCAATGAGATATTAAAAATCTTGAGTGGTAAAATAAATAAATAAATAAATCAGTGGATAATCTCATCGGCCTTTGCAAAAATTCTGGGGTTAAAATTACAAGATCTGCTGATTCTTGCTGAGACTGCATGCTCATTCCCGTTACTAACTCCTCGATTCTAGAGATTGTGTTTTCTTTCTTTGCATTACAATTCAATTGTTCAAAGACAATTTTTTTTACACAATATACTATGAAATTGGAAGAGTGCAGATGAAGACCTCAGGAGAAAAAGTTAAATAGCTTGTCTTTAAACAGGCATAGTAAAGGGAGAAATATTGGTGTTTCATGTTATCGTAGAAAAAATCAAGTTGGAAGAGGTCTCAGAGCATCAAATCCAACCATCTGCTGTAGGAACTGTCAACTATGAAGTCAGACCAGATTGCTGAGGATATACGTAGGGCAAGTACTGAAAACCTTTGATGATAGAGATTGCAAGAGTCTCCTTGGACAAGCTGTTCCATTGCTTGACTGTCATCAGGTGTAAAAGATCTCTCAGCCTTTCTGCACATGGTGCTGTTCCAGCCCTTTTCCCATCTTGATGGCCCTCTGATGAACGCACTCCAGTTTAAAAGCTCATTTCTTGTACTGGGAAGCTCAAAAATAGGCATAGTATTATGAATATCTTTGTGATTCTCTTGCTGGATTCAGGCTAATTTGTCAATGTCTTTCCTGGGTCAGCAGGCCAAAACTTCCAGATACAAGTACTCAGTAGAGGGCAGCAATCAACTCTCAACATGCTGGCTGTGTTCTCATTAACAGCCCAGTTGTGATTGTCCTAACCATTCACTGGGGCTGACTGCTGTTCAGCTTGTCCACCAGGACCCCCAAATCCATTTCTGCCAAGGTCCTTTTTATCTTAGTTGCTTCCCAGACTTGTATCACTGGCTGCATTATTATATTTCTTCAACATTAGAACAACATTCAACAACATTCAACGTGCTGTTGTAATGAAAGACAGATGAAAAGATCAGGTTTGACTTTGTGGGAAATCTTGCTCAATTCTTTAACTGGATGCAAAATCACTTCCTTGAGACAGTAAAGGAAGCATTACTGCAGAGGCAAAAAGTAATTGCAAATATTACCTCTAGCTCTTCCCCAAAAAATCCAGTTTGTTTTTTTTCCCTGTTTTGTGCTATTGCTGGCTCTCACATAAAGTTTTTTTTTTCCTGTTTAGATTACCAGCCTGACACTCAGATACTCTGTAAATTACGACATTGCATATGTGAATTCTGTGCTGTTTGGTTTTACAGTTTACAGTTTACAAAACCATACGTTTGCAAAACAGCTAAAAATAGACATAAATAAAAGAAATGATATAGATATGAATAGATGAACTAATGAAAGCAAAATGCATAAAAAGATAGGCACAAAAATAATATCAGTTGAAAAACTGACTTCCTAGTTTCCATTCTTCTCAGTAGAAGAGGAAAAAATAGATTGTCTGCTAGATAAAAAGAAATAATCCAAGCACTCTCACTCATTTTAACAAACTTCTCCCTATGACCCTTTGGGATGCAACAGACAAAGAATGTCAATAAAAGAATCAAATTGCTCACTGGAGCAAGTTACTTTGCAGCTTCCGTGACAATATATACATAGTTTGATTATGGGTTTTGCTTTTTGGTTTATTGTTTTTATTGCTTTTTTCTTTTTTTTTTTTCTAAGGATGTTCTCAAATTTGCATTTGGATTCAAGTTGATATATTGAATTTTCTCAGGGAAATTGTGAAACACTGTAAGTGTCCTTGGGTTGGTCTCCCAAAGAAACAATCATTATTACTTGTTTCTGTCCAAGAAGCGAAATTTATTGTGTTTTGAAATTGATTGCATTTGAGAGGTTTTGTCTGTTGGAAAAACGGATTGTTTAATCAATGTGGGATAAAGGGGTAGGATGTGCCAAGACCACCAGGGTACTTTGTGAACTTCATGAGGTCTCTAGGTGGCATATGTCCGTGGGGAATTTCTCACTGATAAATCTTGATTAATTTTTAGCATTCTTTTTAAGATGGATACAGAATTACTAATATAGATCTCAAAGAGTCTAGGATGTTATTAACTGATCTTAATAATAGGATTTTTTAGATAGTGCAGGGTCACAGCTGCAACAACTACTCTGTAAAAGGTGGTGGGATGCTCATGACTGGTTTACATGGCACTGCTGCTCCGGTTACTTTTGTCAGGGTACATACAAGTGTCAGCCAAGTTACAGCTCTTCTAAATAAAAAATATTACAGAAATGATAGTTCTCGACTTCAAGAATTGAGTTATGATGTTTATCCATATTGTATGAGTTTGTTTACTATTGCACCAAGCACAATGTTTTTTTTCAATTCCCTCAAGTCTGTCTTCTTACAGGTAGTTTAGGTAGACCTCCTGTGCAGATACTGATTTCAGTTGCCCTTTTTCTATTTGTGTCCTAAAAGTTCAGACAACTTTTTTTCTTCATTCAGTAGTACTGTTGTGGTTTTACTGTTGAGAATGCATTCAGAACCAACTTCTTTCAGTGCTCCCGTTTCAGTTCAATTCTTAGAGTACTGAGATGGGGAGAACATCACAGTATATTTCTTTTTAGTGTTTTTCTGGTAGGAAGGGACAGTGTTTTCACTCGTCTTAATTACTCAGGGGAAGAACTTTTCTGTACGCCCTAACGCTATTGGTTCCACATCTCTTAGAAAAATACAAGTTCTTGAATAGCTTTTCATCCTTTTTCACTGAGTTGACCATTTTCTCTCATTTCTTCTACTTCTGTACGTATGTAATCTGAAAATGGCATTCCACAAAAGATTTTACATATTAGATTTTTAAATGCTACATACTACATTTGTTACATAGCTACATTCTCTTACAGTCAGTGTTCTCATTACATAGCCTACTGCTAGTAGAAAGCTTTACCTTTTTCCTTTATTCAAATTTATGTCAACTGTGGAAAAGTAACAACCTGCAAAATAGACTATTTTGCTCTCACACAAGACTGAGAGTTGGAATATTTTTATGTGATTTATGCCTTACAGTATCGTATTTAAAATATTAAATTATTAATTTATTCTCTGAATGGATTATATGACTGAAAGAACATGTAAGAAAGGATCACTTGATGTTAATGTTTATGTACTCCATTGTCTTGCATTTTTTTCTGTCTGTGAAGTGGATATGAAATTCAACCATGCTCCCCAGATTTTTTCAGTTTTAAACTGTGGGCATTCAAATTTGTCTTAACGGAAGGAATTATGTGTATCAGTCTGTTGTTTATTGCAGATATGGCAGCTAGCAGCAGTCTATGCTCCAGATTCTGCTATAGACCTTCACTTGAAATTTTGTTGGAATAAAACCTGAATTGGGAATACACACTTGGATTATGGTCAAATAGTATCAGTCTTTACTGACTGTTGTACTTCTGATTGCCTGTCATTCAGACACAGCATCTTAGCTGAGTTATCTGAACTTTCTCTGCATTTATTTACCTAATTCAGTATAAACTTAATATCGCAGATTTCTGACCAGCTGCTGCTGGTTCCTTTGTTAAAGAAAGTGCTCTAATGCTTTCCTTTAAAAGAACAAAATATTTGTCACATGTTCCTATCTGTTTGTCATTCTGATTTACAGGTGCTTCTCAGAAATGAGGATGCAAAATGTGGAACTGGAACATTGTCAGGAAGAAGGTGCACGCCATGCTTAATAGTTCAAATATCTAGACATATGATTCTCTCTTAATTTTAGACCATTGTGGCTACAATACGAACACTGTTTATTAAAGCCTATTCATTTTCTATTTTTTAATAGAGAAGTGTTTAGGGCTTAATAAATTCATGTTATTTTTGCATTTTCTCAGGTCATGCTCAGATTGTCCATCTCTTGTTAGAAAGAAATAAGGTTGGAACTATCCCTTCTGATAGCCAAGGTGCAACACCTCTGCATTATGCTGCACAGAGCAACTTTGCTGTAAGTATCACACACCCAAAATGGAAAGAAAATGTATTTTGATGAAATATCTACAATGTAGTAACGTGAGTTGGTTTTTGACAAGTCGTATAAACAGTGTCAGCACAGGTTTAACTTGGACTTTTCCTAGTAATGTGATATAAATGTTGTTAATTTCAAATTATTATATATAAATTTAAAAAGTAAATTGCTTTACAAAGGCTTTTTGCATATTTTTGCATCAGAGTACCCAATAATCATCTATATATTTTAATGGAATGGGAATGACATCCAATATTTTGCAGTACTTTTGCTTTTTGAGATTGTTCTTAGCAAAATCCAAACAGCCAAATTCTCATATTTTTGGTAGAAAATGTAGTTTTTGTCCAGAGCCTAAGCCTTTCTATGATGTGGTAAAGTCAAAGAAGCTAGGAGTTTTAGCATTTTCTAGCTGTAGGTACTGTAGAGTAGTTCTCAGCCGCTGGAACTTAAGAAGACTTCTTTTGTGCTGCTCTGTTTCTCGTAGTGCAATTATGCCGTGCACAGTTAGAGCTCTAATATAAGTTTTCTTCACTTGTATTATTCACATTCTCTTGTTACAAAAAGGATTATCTGGTGTCCAATTAATGTACTTATGTAGTAATGCAGCTTATATTGTACCATTTCCTTAACAGGGGTACTGATTTGGATCTTTCTTGCCTTCTGGCCTGTTAATTTTCAGAAAATTTTAGCATCTTGGAGAATCATTCCCCTTATGGGTACTACTGGGTACTACTTCAAAAGACAACTGATTGGTGTGTACTGATAGCACAGCTCTCTGTGCAAACGGGCCTTCCCTGTGAAACTAGGGGAGGTTTTTTTTTGTTGTTTATTTTTGTTTGAAGATGGTCTTAGTAGAAACCTGCAGAGCTTTTTGTTTGTTTAAAATTCAGACCTTATTGAAGCACATCTGTTGTGTGCATTTTTACAGAATGTTTTATTGATGCTGATTACTGTCCATTATTAAAATGTGGTATGTAGAATTTGTGTCAGACTCACATGCCTGAAATATTTATCTTGTGAAAGCCTTTCTTTCAAGTCTGAGTCAGACTCTCAAACTGGGAATGATGTGTGGGAAACATAACGATAATCCAGTGATTATCCTCTTCTGCTTTTATCTTTTTTTTTTTTTTTTTCTGTATTGGTACATTCTTTATGAAATAATGTTTCCTACTGGCTTTCTTTTTCTGCGTTTGATTTAGTTGTATGAAACATTTTCATTATGTTGGTCCCTTTTGATCCCATCAACCAGCCAAACTATGACATCTTTAGGTTTTAGGGGGAAGCAAAGGAGGTGCTGGAATCAGATATTCTTTTGTAATCTTGTGTGCTTACAATGAATTTACTGTTTTGCATCTTAGATGAAGAACAAAACAGGGGAGTCTCACTCCAAGTCTACAGGCCTCTTTGAGCTGATGATGTGATCCCAGAACTGTTGCTTATGCATGCCTAAATTATGCCTGGAGCTTCTCTTTTTTTTTTTTTTTTAAACCACTATGTTTTTTTCTGAGCATCAATATTTGCTGTATTTTTTCTACTAGATAAAAATTCTAGACTAGCTCCCACCACTGCTTTCCATATACAAAGTCAAACAATTGAAAAGAGACTCATCCACGTTTGTTTTGGTGATAGCATCCATATGTTTATGGCTTCAGAGCCACATTAGTGTTCTGTTCAGACTGCCCAAGTTTATAGAGGCATGGTTTGTTTCTCAGTTAAAATGAAATGTTTCTTTGTCCAAAAGAAGATTTGATCTTTTTTGCTTATTGTAAATTTTTTGGTAACTGTCTTTTACTGACTTCAATATCTTGATCTGTGTCCTCTTTTTCCTCAGGTTATGTACGCACTCTAATATGACCTCTTTGTTTTTTCAGAGACCAGAGAAACTTAGCTGCCAGTTCATCTAGGTGAAGCATTTTCAAGACTGACTTATTCTCACTTATTGTATAAGGAATAGCTCTAGAAGAAGGGTTTCTTAGTGTAATACCCAAACAGGTTGCCCAAAGGTTAGGTGGTCTGTGTAAATCCCACAGAAGGTCCAAACATTGTTTTTTAAATTTCTGAAATCCATGTATGAAGGCAGGTGCTTTAATTGTATTGATCTTGTGTGCAGAATGCAGAACTAAATTTTCTTCTTTGTTTTGAATTTTTATGGAGATGTCCACAGTGATATGTATTTTGTTTTCACATACTTGTGTAGATTGACCTGGTAAGTGAATATGGATACCTTTGTCTTATTTTTTGAACATATTGTTGGTAGCAGAGGATGGAAGGATCCAGGTTTACTTATCTTCTTTGCTCTTGTTTTTCAGCTTTGCTGATTTTTATTTTGCTTTCTTCACATTTTCAAAATACATGTGATTTTTTTTCATGTCAAAATGCATGTAAAATCAAAGTGATTGGATACTTATATTTTCTAATTCCTTAATGACCTGTTTCTTATTTCATTCCATTTTAGTTTTCAAGCTGTGTTAAATTCAGTTTGGAAAAGAGCTCTTACAGCAGCATGGGATTTCTTCCACTTTTTTTTTTCCCCTTTAGAAATTATAGGAAAAGAAAAAAAAAAAGTGTAGCTAAAAGAAACGTAGATTTGCTGAAATATAAAAATAAAATTACTTATTTCTATTTGTAAGATGTGCGCCTTGGTATTGAAAAGGTCCAGCCTTTTCATTTTGCAGGGTTTCAAGCTGTGCAGGGTTCTGGTAGTGTGCTGAGCTGTTGGTCTCATGAGTAACCATTTGTGTTTGAGGTGTGATGGTGGTCAGTTAAAAAAGCTATAAACCTGTGCTGGTTTTTTTTGTGTGAAAGGTTTAATGCTTACTTTCCTCATTATTTCTGCCTGAGCCCTTTGATTGTAAACTGAGAGTTCAGGTATGAACCCAAATTCGCAAAGCTGTTAGGATCTTAGATCACTTTAACATAAAATGAAGGAGAAATTATTTATTTATTTATTTATGGGGATGAAATCATAAATAGTAATTGAAAAAGAAAGGAAAAGAAAAGAAAGGGAAGGGAAGCAAAGGGAAGGGAAATGAAGGGAAGGGAAGGACTGGCCAGTTGGGCATAAATGATTCTTGAGTAAATGTTTCAGCCAAGACTTTATTGTAGACAAAGACTCTTATCCAACCAGAGCTCTTTTGAGATCACATGAGGGAAAGGTTGAAGTAGCACTAATGCTAAAATACAAAAAATGAAATAAAATAGTAAAACTCACTTTTCAGTTTTTATTAGTTAGCTTATCTGTGACTATTAATAGATGTGTGCCAGCTGTTACATACACAACACTTGTGAGCCATTAGATAAGAAAAACTTTTCCCTGGTTTTTCTTACAGCAGTGATTTCCTCCTTCCCTTTCTTGTGCAGTGTGGCTTCTTAAGAATTTATCAGAAGGTGAAGTGAGTGAACTTGTTTGCTGAGAGCTTAACACAAACATGACATTTGAAGAAATAATTCTTCAAATCAAGCTCTTTAAAGACTTCAGTTGTGATAATTATAGTAGAAAGCATAGACTCAAGTGTAAAGAATTTATTTATTTTACTTACAGCGTTTCAGTAATTGTTGACCTGATGATATCTTTAAATATTAGGAAATGTATTTGTTTCTTTTAAAGTTCTGTTTTGATTTGTTGGGCTTTTTTGAATGGTTAAGAGTGGCAAACTAAAATATTTACTTCTGCAGTCATATTCAGATTTAAATAAAAAAAATTGTAGCAGAAAAAGTATTTTGAAGAAAAAGTATTTTAGAATCATGGTATTATTACAGTAATATCTTGATAAGCCAATAATATTTTTCCCATTTCCCATTACTTTCTTCACAGCAACTGCAGTGTCTTTCACTTCCTTACGATGAACACATGATATTTGACACTAAAAAGAAAATAGATATATGATAGCAGTTAGGGATGTGGCTATGAATACTGAAGAGGAAAAGGGCATAGCAGCAGAAAATACAGTCCTCCTGTTGAGCAGATACTTTTATGTAAACATAAAAAGGAAAAATGAAAGCTTTTATTTGTTTCATAGACAGCCGGATGAGACAATATTGTTTCTTGTTGTCACAGATTTCTTACAGTATTAATTCCAACAGTATGTCTTTTCAGGAAACAGTTGAAGTATTTTTGAAACATCCTTCTGTAAAAGATGACTCAGATCTTGAGGGAAGAACGTCCTTCATGTGGGCAGCTGGGAAAGGCAGTGATAACGTCATTAGGACTATGCTGGATTTGAAACTGGATATCGATATCAATATGACAGACAAATATGCTGGGACAGGTAAGATACTTTTCAATGAAAAGCCATTGAATGATTCCAGTTAGTGTGATTTTCACCAAATAAAACATTCTGGTAGCTTCTGTATTAATCTTTTCCTAGGGATGTTGCAGTGATGGTATATTCCAAACAAGAAAATAAAATGTTTAAGAGTTTTTCACTTTTCTCACATATGGCTTCCATTATAATTTGAATTAAAGGAAATGGGAAATAAGTGCAATGTCAGAGTTTTCTGGTTCAGCATTTGAAAAATAGCAAGTATGACTATCACTTGCAATTTACAGTTTTCACTTCCTTTAATTATAAGGGTATTTTACATCATCAATTTCATTTCCTGTAAAATTCTGTTTATAAATCTGAGTTGTTTCCTTACAAATGAACACACCTCAAATTAGTCTTTTCACATTATGACAGTTTTCTAAGTTGTGAGTTAAAAGAAAAAAAAATACTGTGACAATAAAAAAAAGTCTAAGATCTCTGTCTTTCTGTCTGATGGTTCTGTGGACTACACACTCAACCATTTTAGCGTTGTTTCATCTTTTATTAGTGCCACTTGTGTTTGCTGCTTTGTGATAGGTCCCTTATAAATGCCTTTCAGTATTTCAGATCTTAAGTGCAGTAATGTTGCAGACAGTGTACAGACCTCCTTATAAGGGAGTTGTTCTTTGCTAACAGTACTTGGAGACTTTCTGAAATTATTCAGGTGTGGTTTTCATGGTTGAATAACTCAGGTGGCTTTTATCTACCAGGGTTACACCTAGCAGTAATGCCTGATCACTTTCCAATCCTGATCTTGTTGTAGGACTTGAAGGCAGTTAATGGATGTTCCATTTGTACTTGAAGCTGCCACTGTATAGAGCACACTGTCTTAAAGTTCAGAGCTATGCTGTTCTTCACTTGCTATCAAACAGTCTGAATTTTACCACTATGCAAATGTGTGCAGCAGGGAGAGCTTTATCACAGCGAGCTGTAAACTTCAAAGGAAGCCCACCAGTAAATCACTTTCTAATTGCAGACCTGATTTTTTTTCTGAAGATTTGTAATCCTTCCTAGGTTTTGGTGGGGGAAGAGTAGCATTGTAATCTAACAGGAAACCATGGAGTAATAGAAAATAGTGTACATGGCTGTGCCCAGGCTGCAGTTGCTGAGGAGAGTTCAAGTTTGTGTTTTGCTGACTTTTGTGCTGAACTCAGTTAAGCTCAGTCATATTGTTGCATTAACGTAGCTTTTTGCATTTACTTAAAAAGAGCAAGTTCTTCATTCAGCTCAAGACTCTGCTTATTGTGTAGGAGAATGACACCAAGGGAAAGGAATTTCCCTGTTCGCAGAGATCAGCGCTGCAGGAGCATTACAGGGGCAGCTTTATAGCTCTGCCGTCACTGCATACAATGGTGAGGGCTCTGTCTGTCCGACCAACAAAGGTCCCATTGTGAGCAGCTGGCCAGGGAATCTCTTCAGTCACTGTGACTCCATCACAGAAAATTTGGCTTACAAGAAAATACTGAGCACAAAGTGCGAAACGAGATGCCTGCGTCAGAATGAGTGATAGAGGGGAAGAAGCGGCCAAGCTGACACAGCAGCTCTTTTTCTCTTGCATTGTTATACACACCCCATGTGTCATCAGATTGAGTGGTTTACTGCCTTTGCTTTCATAAGAAATGCAGTACAAAAACCAGAACCTAAAGTTTACGGTGAGGTCAGAACATGAAGACTAGGCCCGTCCAAATACATAAAGCTGCAGGGACCTCGTTCTTGTCGAATTTCTACTTATAGCCTCCCACTCACATAGCTAGTGCAGATCTTGCTGCTTACAGATATTTTTCACAAGTGTGGTAAATGTTCATATGAGAGGTTTTTTTCCCATGATATCTGCAACAGATGAACATTAGGATCATTGTAAAAGCAGGATTTCAATTCTTAAGGCAGCACTAGTCATATTTTCTCAGGCCACAACCCCGTTGCTTGTAGGAAGTTCCTCATTTGTATTACAACTCCAGTCACTATTGTTGGGAATCAAAACTATAAGCCAGTATGAACAACCTGCACTTTTTAGTAGCATCTGTGTGGCAGATTATGCTTGGCCACTGTTTTATAAGCTGTATGAAGTGGTGTCAGCGGTAAGCGGTGTCAGGCAATTACAGAAAGCATGGTAGTTTGACATTCTAAACATGGTTCAAGAAGTAATTCCTTCTAGCGTCTTCTAGTAAATCCTTTCTAGTGGTCTTTCTGTCCTGTGCCTTTCTGTGCTGTGCCTCTGCTGGATCCTGACTGTGCCTGTCATAACTTGAAGCAAGAAGAGGGATGCAGGTACTGTGTACAGCCCCACATCTTGCTTGTCTGACCAGACTGAATAATGACCAAATTGGAGTGTTTGTGAAATTTCATGGAAAAATGAGAAAGCACAAACTCGTGGAATCATGGAATGGTTTGGGTTGGAAGAGACCTTTAAGATCATCTAGTTCCAACCCCTCTGCTATGAAATGCTTCTATGAATTGCACATTTTTGTGTTTTTTTCTGCATACTTTGTACATTGTCATCTCTGAAGTAGTTTAAATGTTAAGAGGAGCACCTCTGAGAACATAGATCATTTTATTCAATTGCTAACTATTGGAAATAATCCAAAGCATTTTGAAATCAATTTGTAACCAAAGTAAGTGTCCTCAATTTGTCTGAAATCTCATTGTTGTGTGTAGTTTGTCTTTCCTTCAGGAAGTACCTGAGTTGGTTATAGAGGCATTTCTGCATTCTCCTCAACCACAGGCTGCAGTGCCAGCAGTTACTATCAGTTAGTAACTTCAGTCCTAAGACACTATTTCTTTACCTCTGTGGTCTCTGTGTTATTTGTTGATTTAATTTTAGTGAAGTCTGCATGCATTTAGAGGTGAGAAGACAATAAGAAGAGTGGGATTCTGCAAAGACAACTTGCACAGTTTATATTCAATGGAATCTTATATGCTGTAGGGGTGGAAGGAAATGTGGTATGTTTAAGTTCCTCTGGTACTTAAAGGGACATAAGCAGGATGGTAATCAAGTTTTCACATGAGTAGATAGTGATAGGACTATCACTAGGGAAATGGTTTTAAACAGAAAGACAGGAGATGTAGGTTAGATGTTCAGAGGAGATTTTTTTTAAGTGAGGGAGTGGTGAGGCACTGGTACAGGGTGCCCAGAGAGGCTGTCATTGCCCATTCCTGGTGGTGGTCAAGGCCAGATTGGATGGAGCCCTGGGCAGCCTCATCCAGTGCCTTATATAGTGGTTGGCAATTCTGCCTGTGACGGGGAGGTGGATCTAGATGGTCTTTGAGGTCCCAAACCCAAGCCATTCTGTGATTCTGTGGTTTGTACATCATTTTTTTTCCTGAATGAGCAAGGAGTTGCAGGTACTATGCGGAGATATAATGGCCTTCCTACATAGGTTTATGTAAAATTTTCTCCCAGCAATTCTGGAAAATGAAAAAGAGGAGTGGAGAAAAACAGCTGGGTGGTTATCTGGAGTTAGTTTTAATTGAGACAGCTTTGCTTGTTTGAAAGAAAAAATGGCATTTTCAAAAAAAACGTTCAAGATATAATGGAAGCTTTCTTTCTCTGAAGTGGGCAGCTTCATGTCCATTGGAGTAATACAGTAAGTGCCATGGAACAGAGACAGAAGTAGTTCTTACTGTGATCTCTCAATTTTTTAAGCAAAAGCTGGTAACCTTACACAAATCATAGACATAAGCCAGTCCTGCTACTGATAAGGTTGAAATTCACATTTCTGCAAGTAAAAAACATGTCTCAGAGCTAACATTATTTTCTGCTTCCTGTGCTGTAATGCTTGTGCTTAAGGAAATGTGGTTCAAGATTGCCTATCACTCGCTATGGTTCTTCAGCTGCTTGTTTTTCAAAAGCAGCTTTTTCTAACAAAATAATCAGAATTATTTTTTAATTTGATTGTTCTATGAACCTGCAGAGCTCACAATATTGTGCACTCATTTTCCTATTGCATTTTTCTTTCAGCATTACATGCTGCTGCACTTTCTGGCCATGTCAGCACAGTGAAATTGCTGTTGGAACGCAATGCACAGGTGGATGCTTTGGATGTCATGAAACACACTCCACTTTTCCGAGCCTGTGAGATGGGACACAAAGAAGTGATACAAACACTCATTAAAGGTCAGCTGTTAAAAAATTTACAAAACTCTTTGGATTTCTCATGTTCCTTTATGTAGGGCTGTGAAATTAATAGCATTGCTGAGCAAGAATGGGAGTAGAAAATTACTCCTCTAAAAAAAATATTGTCTGTAAGTACCCTGTGAGGAACAGTATTAGAAAATAACTAGGGGTTTTTCAGAGCACTGAGCAAAAAGACTGGCAGAGTTAAATCTAAACTTTCAAAGCAGGGATAGTTCCTTGCACAGCTCATTTCTGTCCAAGCTTGTTCAAGTATGTTCTAGTCTCTCCAACTGCCACTTCCCCCAGCAAGCCATTGTTTTGGGGGGTTTTTCTTTTTCTTTTCTTTTCTTTTCTTTTTTTTTTTCCTGCTTTCAATGAATAAGTTCAAATTAAGCTTTCTCCTGAGACAAAGAATTTGTAGTCATCTTTGGAAATTTTTTGACTATTTAAATTCATGTTCATCTTTAAGGTACTTATCAAAACCCAAAATCATTAATATTTTCCCATAGTTGGTTTTTAGAAACAGTATTTTATTTGTAAATAGAAATAAGACAATGTGCATAGTTCTAAATAATGATAGAAGCTCTAAACTGCAAGATACACAGCGAAATAGTGGTGGTAACTTAGCTGCAAAATTCTTTCGTTTTAATCACACAGAAAAGTTCTGCACAGACTGGAAGCAGTCTCTCTACTTGAGATATTTACCCAATTGTTGTCTGAAGTATGTAGACTCACAAATTACACATTTTCTGTAAAATAACCTTTATTAGTGAAGATTACTTCCCTCTGTTCTTCGCTGGACAAATTTTAATGCCTTGCTAAGCTCTTACCCTAACCCCCTGTGGGGTTTAGTTTTTATGAATACAGTAAGTTTGTGTGACCAGAATCTGACTTACAATTGATTAAACTTTTTATGATATAAACAGCTATTCTTGATGGTTAATTAGAATTTAAGCAATTGTGGAGGTTTCTTTTTGTGATGAGTTTTTGCATCATATCACAAAGAAATTATCTGCATAGAAGATGTTCAGCATGCTTGGAATAAAAAAAATAGAAAAAACTTTTTTCAAAAATAATTCTTACCTTGTGAGTATTTGATCTCCTCTGTTTTAGAGGTTTAAAAAGAGGTTATGTCTAAGTCTGATTTTCAGTAGTGATTTTGTCATTAAGAAATTTTCACTTAAAATTAATAGGCCTGAAACAAGTAACATCTCGATTTTTCAAGGCTATTTGACGGATGTGAAGTTTCCAAAGTATCTGAGAGGATGTTTAAGATTTTCTAAAGTTGCTGACCCTGACTGAAATCATCTCATTGCCATTTCAACTTGATTTAAGTAATAACATGGATTTTGCATTCTGAAGTACTTCTCTGAATTGTCAATTTGCCAAAGAAGTTATATTTGAACATAAACTTATTCTTTGCTTTCTCTTAATTCAAAAATGTGTTTGTTGTTATAGGAGGAGCAAGAGTAGATTTGGTTGATCAAGATGGCCATTCACCCCTTCACTGGGCAGCCCTGGGAGGAAATGCTGATGTGTGCCAAATCCTGATAGAAAATAAAATCAACCCTAATGTGCAGGATTACGCAGGTAGAACACCTCTGCAGTGTGCTGCATATGGAGGTTACATCAACTGCATGGTAGTGTTACTGGAAAATAATGCAGATCCAAATATTCAGGATAAAGAGGTATGTTGTCCTTCACTGGGCAATTCGTTAAGTAAGTTTAAAATAACTATAAACGTAAAGGTCATCCTGTTTTCTGGGTCACTGAAACATCTTCTCTGCCGATTATCATGAAAGGAGATGTATCCTGGCATAATTTTCCCTGTCTTCACTTCTAAACTCTTGAATGAAAAAATAATGGTGTAATATTCAGCATGAAATGGAGACACATCTTTTTCCTTTATCATTTTTGTCTTTGCCTTATCAAAGTGCGATCTTACGAGGAGTCATTTTAAGCATCTTATTTTTTAACTTGTATGGTTCCTTATTAACAATTGATATGGGAATGTGATTTTATAGTTTACAGTGTGTTTCTTCAGCATGTGTTAGCAAGATAGAACAAGAAAGATATTGCAAGTGAAATTGCAGAAGAACTTCTTCAATTATTTATCTGTATACAGCTCTTCTTGATGGGAAAAAAAAAAAGAACACCGGTTTGTTTAAATGTTCTTTTGTGTCATTTTTCAAACAGTAAGTGAAATTAGGAGCCAGGATAATTGTGCAACATATAACAGATTTCTTTGTTACTTGACATGATTTCTCTGAAGTCAATAGAACTCAAAGAGTCAAAATAGTTTCACACAAATTGATAAATTTTTCTCAAGGTATTCATTGTAGGGCATGAATAATTCTAGGTAATTGAGAAGTGTTATTTATTATGGGTTCTCCTGAGTACACTGCAAACATTTTCTAAATCTGCTACCAGCTTCACGTGGCATCAACTTGAACATAGGTGATGTCAGCTTCAGACCTCCTTATTTCACAGTTATTGCATCATAATCTTCAGCACTTGGAGTTCAAGATGATGCAGCTTGTTAGCACTGAACTCAGAACTTCTTTGTGTTGTTATGCGGTATCCAGTTTTCTAACTGTTTGTTAAATAGGGAGTTGAAAAAAGCAAGATGCAGATATAGGAAGTTCACTTCATTGAAATGAAGTGGAATGCCTGTGTGTTGTTGATATTAACAGACCTTTAAGTATTCACAGTGCAGCTACCAGCCAGGAGCTGGCTGTATAGGGTTCAGCTGCTGTAGTGAGTATTGTGGGCTGGAGTCATTCTGCGTTTGTCTGAGCTGATAAGCTTTCCTCAGACTTCATCAGAGTTTGATCTCCTTAATAATTCTCTGTCTTACTGCAGTATTTTGGACCAGCCTAGAAAACAGTCTGAATGACAAAAGTTGTTGAGAGCTTCTTCAGAGCAAGGGCAGCATAACTCCACAGAAATACACTCTAGAGCTAGTTTCCTAATGCTATTTTTCAGCTGCTTTAGATGGAAGAGCTCTAATGTTGTAATGTAGTTTAAAAAGAAAAAGATATCTGATTTCATTTTTAAGTGATGTACTCTTTTATTTTAACAAGGGAGTTGTTTTAGAAGAATCAATTTGTCCTTTGTGTCCAGAAAAGCATCAAGTTACACTATGATTTCCAACTGTTATTGTGGCATGATAGAGATTGGGAATAGTGTGATCATTTCTTTTTTTCCGTCTATTGTCTACAGGGAAGAACTGCTTTGCACTGGCTCTGTAATAATGGCTACCTTGATGCTATAAAGTTGCTGCTTGGTTTTGATGCTTTCCCTAATCATATGGAGAACAGTGAGGAAAGGTATTATGGTCTGAATGAGTCATTTTCTAATTTAGCAAAAATGCTACCTGTTGATTCAAATGTTTGTTGTTCAGATATTTTCACAGTGTCATGATTGTCCTCGTATGTAAAAGGAATGCTATAGCTTCAGGCTTCAGTGTGAGGAGCTTTTATAATGTGAAAAATCTCTTGTTTACATATGACACTGCAAGTTTAAACTTCAGCTTTTTGTACTTTTGAACACTGAGCTTCTGGACATTTCTGCAAGTATTTACTCATTCTACTCTGATTTGAAATATTAAGCATCTTTTTTATTTTGATGAAGTTGGCAATGGATATGTATGATGAAAAGATGAAAATGTTAGAGTAGTCTGGAGCTTCTCTTATTGGTAGGAATACAGTGAGAAGAAAGCAAATGGAAGAAATGCATTGTTACGTTTTAAAATAGTGATTACAAATTACTGGTGATTAACTGTATTCTAAAAGCCTGGGTTTGGGGGCTTTTTTTTTTTTGTCTTGTAATCATGAAGAGACAGTAAATTTACACCTCTTTTCTTTGTGTTTTATTGACACATAAATAATTTTTTTTTTAAAGTGATTTGAGTTACAGAGTTCAAATTAATCACCTGACCATGAAGATAATGAGTGTTAGCAGAAATTTATGATGTCTTTTCAGAATAGATAACCTCATTATAATCATAAATAAAATTATGATCAGTATGTCATGCAGATTTTGAGTATTTCTCAATTTTAAATAATTTAAATGCATTTAAGGCCCACATTTTAGACCTAAACTGGAGAGTCCTTTCCTTACCCCAGTTAATTGTTTTCTTTCCCCATCATTTCTCTTTCATTCTCTACACCAGCTACTCAGATCGCTCATGCTTTTGTGTTTATTCTCATTTTGAGCGAGAAACAAATGAAGGTGTTAAGTTGTTCCTAAGTAATGTCAATACTCTCTAGAAATTTTTTGTAGAAAATTAAGCGAACAGCTGTAGTTAAATTACTCCTAAGAAGTGAAATGAAAAGACAATATTTTGCTGGAAAAATGCCATTCTTACGTTGTAGAAATGGACTAATGATACTCAACTGTTAGGAAAATACCTTAGCTGTGATGTTACTGTAGTCATTCAGTTACTATCTATTTTGTTTACCTTTTGACATTAATGTGTGTTCGTATATATATGCCTTGGTTACTCTGGATATAACAAGCAGCATTCTGAATGGACACTGTTAAGCACCAGTCCATGTGCAGAAAAGAACAGATCTTCAATATTTCTGGATGAATCAGTCTGTAAATATAATTTTCCTAAAATATACGTGTTATATGGAAAACTTGTGCAATTGCCTCTTAGACATCTACAAAACTGTATTTTGTTGATAAAACCTTGTGTTATTATTAGGACAGTAGAAGTTTGGAAAATAGAAAAAAGTGTCAAGTGAATATTCTCAGAAGAGAGTAAAATGACCTTGTGGATATGGTTCATCTGTAATTGGATGTAAATGCTTTTTTACTGAATTACAGTTTCACAAAGTGGTATTTTTTTTTCCTGATATATCTATACAAGGGTGCTGTTCTTGCTCATGTAGAGTGCAATATGAGATACTAGTTCAAAATTCAAGCCCAGCACTTAAAACTTGTCAAAAGATGGAGCTAGAATTGCATCTAAGATTTTAAGTTGCCCAGTTGCTTGCAGATGAGTGACTAATTGTTGGTGTGAGGGGTAGTAGGTTTGCTGTTTTTTGCAGGATTTGATAATCCAGCTGTATGTCATGAGTGCATCAAGTAATGCTAAGTTAGCTGCTGCTTGACCACCTTCATGCTAGATTACATGTAACAGCTGTTGGGTGGTGTCTTCCGTGTGTGTTTTGCTATGAAGCCAGCTTGATTCAAAAGCTAACTGGTTTAAATAACCAATGGAAAAGAAAATCGTTAATAGGCTTTGGATTGACACAAGCAGTGGGTGGTTGTGGTAGTAATATACATAAGTAGCATGGGAGTGTCTGATTATACACACCCCTATTTGGATTTAAGTGTTTTGTTTTTTTTTTTTTGTATTTCTGAAGGTAGCTTGAGTGCGGTCAGATAATCCACATTTAAGAATATGACTGCAATCCATAATACAATGCATCGTTTTGGTACATGCATATTCACAGCATTAGGTTTACTTCAGTATCTCTTGTACATGTTAACTAAAATATTCAAAGGTAGCTCTACTTTAAAAATGACACTTTCTGAAATGAGGTTCTTTCTGAAGTATCCATTCTTGGGTTATCAAAAATCCGTAGCTATTTAAATGCTACCAACACACCTTGACATACAAATTTTCATGTTATGTCATTGTCTTTATTCCAGCAGACACTTCAGTTCAGATACTGTTAATCCTTCCATCAAATCATTGCTGTGTGGCAAGTCCAATTGTGCTCTTTCTGTCTGTTTTTCTTTGCTTACCAGCATTGTGTCCTTGCAAGTTACCATCAAGAAGAGCCCTAATTTTCTCAATCACATGCATTGACACTTACTGTTTGAAAGCCTTGCATTATATGGTCTTGATTATGGTTTGTGACTGATAATTCTCCACCACAGAATGTCTTTGCCTAATGCTTCAGTGTTGGAGAGGGGGGCAGGCACCTTTTGCACTTATCCAGTCAATGGAAATTTGGGGAATTTTTATCCAGAAATACTTAGGCAGGTTTGACGCTATTTCAAAGCAAAGGCATTTAATATTTTTATCACACATGTTGATTTGAAGGCAGGCTTGTCTAACGAGTACTTTTAAAAAAATGTTATCCATTAAAGTAGGTTGAATAGTGTTCCTTGGTCAGCTACACTGTCCTCAGCCTCAGTCGTTGTAGAAGCTAAGCTAGACGTGACAGTAAATTCTCAGAACTTAAATGGATACGTAAATAACGCAAAGTATGTTTTGTTTTGCCTTTTACTTAGATAGTATCTCAACATATGAACTTTACTAACTTCTTTGTTTGCTTAAAACAGTTAATAATAATAACCTGGGTGAGACTTCGGACTACTGCACTTAGTGTTGTTTGACCCCCTCTATGTTAGGCAATTAAAATAAGCTTTGAACATGATCAGGGTGGGTACCATGAGCAAGACAGGAGAATAATATTTAAAATAAGAGCAGTGGTCTTCTGAAAACAGTACTTCAGCAATTTTCAGTCTAGAAGTTGCCTTATTACAAAATCAACACGAATCTCATAACGCCAATGCACATTATGATTAGGAATCCAATTCATTGTTAATTATTGTCTGTTTTTTTTGTTTGTTTGTTTTCTTTTTTTTAAGATACACTCCACTTGATTATGCCTTGCTTGGTGAACACCATGAAGTGATTCAGTTCATGTTAGAACATGGAGCTCTCTCTATAGCTGCCATACAGGACATTGCTGCTTTCAAAATTCAGGCTGTTTATAAAGGATATAAAGTTAGAAAGGCTTTTCAAGAGAGGAAGAATCTTTTAATGAAACATGAACAACTGAGAAAAGATGCTGCTGCCAAGTAAGTCTGAAACTCAAAATCTATTCTAGCAAATAGACATTTGCCATAAGTTTCTATATGCATGTGCGTGATTTTATCTGTTACTGATCATCACTTATTGTTCTTATTGTAAGATTCATGAAACTTGCAAGCATCTAATGGAATTTTTTTTTTCATAATGCTACATATGAAAACCGTTTTCCAGATAATCCCACATTAAATAGCAATCCTTATATAATGTGCATGAACAAGGCAAAAATACTAAAGAGTGGAAAACCAGCATATTAGCATCATTAATCTTTAAATGATAATAAGTTTTGGAAAACATTTATCACTCTGGAGTAATGAAAATAATCATTGGCTTCACGAGTCTTTGATAAAAGTTTTGAAAATAAATTAATAAGTAGATGAAGAAGATAAATTAGATACTTGGAAAGCCTGATTAAATAAGGCTTAACTGTTTCATGTGGGAGGCTGAGCTTTTCTAGAAAACTGAACTCCTTCCAGATTTTATTTGCAACTTCTGTCTTGGCAGTATAATACACTCCAGTGAGATTTTCTGCACTTGAATTAGACTGTTATCGTGAAATCATTATATTAGATTATAAATAACTACCATATGCAATTCAGATAGTTGCTTTTAAGATGTGTCAGTTCTTATTGAACTGGAGTAGCAAAAGGACAAAATTCTAAAATGCAGAAAAACGTAAATGACCATCAAAATATTCTGATAGGTTAATCTTTATCCTTAAAATTCACCATATAAAAAGAACAAATTAGCACACAGGTTCTCTTAAAGAGATTTGATTCTGGAATAAAAGTATGAATCAGAAAATATTTGTAGTAATTTTGGTGTAATATTTCTACAAAATATTCATAGTATTTTATAAAGAGAGTTCATATTAATGGATAGACACTAATCATTGAACACAGGATTTTTTCTTACTTCTGTGTATCTTAGACAAAATCAGCTGCAGAGTGCTATGTTTCAAATTAATTAGCTTGGTGCTCTGTATATATGGCCAATCTGACCTTCTTTGGGTTTGAGTGCTGCTACAATATTGGTTACAGCTGATTAATGCCCATTAAGAATCCAAGCTAGAACTACTAGTTAACTAATCTCTTGCTCACATCTTTAGATCCTGAAGTTGTAACTTGCAGCCCTCCTACTATTGCATTTTCTGAAGTCAGTATAAGTCAGAAGTTTGGAGAATCTGTCTTTGAAAATATCCTTAATATCTTATGTATTTCTTCAATTTTGAGAACTCTGCTTCTTGCTGTGTGATCACAGCTGACTTTACCAAGTTGGAGTAGTTTTACTCTCTGCGATGACAGTCATTTTTAGAAGTATCTGTGATACCCCATCCGACACATTAAACAAGAAGGGTTTGCCTGATGGAAATTTGGGAATTTTTTGTCATTGTTTCCCTTCGTGAGTTTCTAATGTACTTTCTGAAGCTTACTAAGCTGTTGTTGATTTGTTTGAAAAGAATAGAAATAAAGTTTGTGTACCAAATACCATAAAAACAGAATTAAAATATAATTGGAGTGTACAAGCAAATCAAGTTGTCACATAACAAATCTTATTTAATTGCAATTTTATGATCTGTAATAAACTGGAGGGGATATTATGTTGTCATCATTCTGCATACCCATCTGTGCATTCCACAGTTAAACTTGGCCAGGGCGTTGTTACATACAAACAAATAATATCCCTATTCATGTTTAAAAATCTGCTCTCCAGATAAAAGTAGACATTATGTGCAAATCCAGAATGATGGTGAATGCCTAGATTGAAAAAAAAACAACACAACAACCCACAAAACAAAACCAACAAAAAATAGCCTGCTTCAGAGACGTACTGCATGGCTAAGCAGAGAAGCTATGACAGAATTTAGATGTAAAAAGGCAGTATGCCAGAGGTGCAGCCAAGGACAATCTACAAAGGAGGAGCTTAGCATCACTTGAGTACATAGGTATGGCATCAGGAAAGATGAAACTCAAAGTTGAGATTAAAAGGAATAGCCCAGACAAAGAGCTGAGCTTCTGCCTTTACAGTGATAGTAAGAGGCTTAGCAAGGAGAATGTGGGCCCATTGCTGAATGGCATGTGTGATTTGGTGAGAGCAGGCACAGAGGAGGTGGAGATGCTCAGTGCCTTCTTGTCTGCAGTCTTCCCCAAGGTCTCCCAAGACCCCTGTGCTTAGAGAATGGTTCAAGAAGGAGGAGAGCTGCCAGAAATGAATAGGGACTAAGTCAGGGATTGCTTAAGAGAACTCAACCTAGACAAGTCCATGAGACCAGATGAGCTACATTTAAGTGTGCTGAGAGAGCTGACTGGTGTTCTTAAAAGACCACTATCAAGCATCTTGGAAAGGTCACAGAAATCAGGAAAATTTCCGCAGTGATGGGAAGAAAGTAAACGTATGGAATTTCTACAAGAGCCAGAAGAACAATCTGGGGAACTACTTGGCCTCACTTTAGTCCCTAGGAAATAAGTAATAGACAGAAGCTGAGATGATGAGATTTTGACAAAATATGGACTAAGTTTTTCATCATAAGTCAAGCATTTCATCAACAGTCAAGCACTGGAACAGGTTGCTCGAAGAGAGGATGCAGTTTCCATTCTTAAAGATTTTCAAGATCTGACTGCATACATCTCTGAAGATCCTCATCTTACCTCCCAGCTGGCCTTTATTTGAGCAGAATGTTGGTCTTCATGTTTCTTGAGATCCCTTCCAACATGTATTCCATACTGTATGGAGAACTTGCCAGGAGTGAAACATTGCTTCGGCAGAGTAGCACAGAAGTGATCTAGGAAGGACATATTTCAAAACCACAAATTTCAGTCTACATAGGGGTAAGATGTTGGACTTTTTAACCTTTTTCAGAAAGAGGCTTTTGTTTTAGAAAACAGTCTTAGAGTTTGTCTTTAATTAGAGAAGAGTTTAGTCGTATGAAGTCATACAGTTTAGTCATAAAGAGTTTAAATCATATTCAGAAGAAACCATTTCCAGCATATTGAGGTCTGAAAGAACTTCAGAATTCATTCATCACTTGTTCATCTTCCTTCTGAATTTCTCAGAATAAGTTCCTGAACTTTTACTTCTCTATTTTAACAAAGACTTCTGGATTTGATTCCGGCCACTTGGTAGCAACTGCTTGAGACTAAGAATATGAATAGGAACTTGGATGAAAGTGAAAAAGAGTAAATAAGTCATATATAAGAAGAGAAGAGCATCAAGAAAATGAAACAGTCAATTCAGTAGCTTTCAGTAAAATGAGAAGAATTTTCCAAGGGGCAAGAGTGTGCAAGCAGATTGCGATTCATCAGAAAACTGGAGGCAAGGCTGCATGCTGGGCAAAGAGAGAAAATAATGAGCTTTTCAGCAACCTGAGAAGGGAAAGCACATACTGGAAAGTTAATGCCATTGCTGAAGAAGAGGGATGGAGATAACATACAGTGATACAATTAAAGTGAAACACAAAAGAAGAGCAACTAGTAAGAGATGTGGTATATCACAAGAAATGATTGTAAGCACAGTAAAAGGAGGAAAAAAGAAAGTATTGATCCATAGGTGATACTCAAAAGACTGAAGTGTTTGTTTTGCTTGTTTCGGTCTTCATTAGATGTCAAATGATGTTCAATAGCAGATGAAATTCACACTAGAAACAGAAGGCAGAGAAGCAGGCTAAAATACTAAAAGAACAGTTTAGAGGGTAAGTGGATGAATTAGATGATTTCAGATCATTTTAGCCTGATAAAGTTCATCCTGTGCTATTTAGGAAACTGAAGCTGAAATAATCTTAAAATTGTTGCCTTTAAAATCTGTGTGGGACTTGCTGGGCTACAGTATCTGTGAGATTAGCAGAATGCCTGCTTTGTCAAAGAGCGAAAGAATCGCAGGATTATCAAGATTGGAATGGAACTCTTCAGATCATATATTCTATCCCCTCCCCTGTTCAAACAGAGTCAGCTAGCCCAGGTTGCCCCAGGACCTGTCCTGTCTGGTTTTTAATACCTCTGCAAACAAAGGCTCCACAGTCTCTCTGGGCAATCTGTTCCCTGAATCTTGTCTTCTCCAGGCTGAGCACTCCCTACTCTCTCAGCTTCTTCTCATGAAAGATGTTTCAGTCCCTTGAGCGTCTCTGCGTTCTTTTCCAGGACTCATTTCAGTAACTCCATACCTTTCTTATACGGGAATTAAGTAATTGTGTTATTTCTGTGTGTCAGAAACATCACAAAACAAAAATTAATAGCAGTCTTGACTTTGCTAAAACAAATTGTATCGATTCAATGAGATTTCCTTTTGTACCAATAATAACAAATTTTGTGGCCATGGAGAAATAGTAGCTGCCGTTAAAATTTGCCTGAAGTTTTCATACATTTCGTTAGTAAATCAGGGCAATGTAACTTGAATTAAACCTTGTCTATGTGGTGAAAAACTGCTTAGAAGAACATATGCAGTGTAGTTCATAATGGTTCAACCTTAAACTGGAAGTATATATTGATTAGAATCTCATACAGTGCAGTATTTTAACTTAGGAATTAAAATGCTAGATTTGTAAGTAGTACCAAGATGCAGAAGACTGCAAATATGCTGAATTCTAATTTAGAATGTGTTAATGTAGATGAGAAATAACTGAGTGAACAATAGGAGGTCAGGTAAGGACAAATGCACAGCTCTACACATTGTTTTTAAAACACACGAGACCATGTTAACAAGAGACAGCTATTTATACAACAGGAAATATAACTCCTTGGTCAAGATAAAGCCTCAACTGTGGTAGAATCACAGCTGATGATGTATATCTGCAGTTGTGTTTTTTAAAGTAACAACTTGTGCAAGGATAACTCTATCCGTATGTTCTCTGGGCATATTGACATGCTCTAAACTTAAAATGTCCTCCACAGAGTAGATAGATCAAAGCATTGTTAACAGAATGGAAATGATTGAATTCATTTTAGCAGAATTAAAAAATCAAAGCATCTCTGTGTCTTCACAAATGCTTAAGGCTGAAACTGTTCCTTTGCAGATGCCAAAACCTTAATTTCTGCTCTATCACTTTTTGCAATGCAATACAAATTTATGACTCCTAAGGACAGAATTCTGTTGCAATTAATGTGGACAATTTTAGTATATTATCACTGTAGCTGTAGTTGTCTAACTTTAGAGTCCAAGTTTGGATCCTGATGAGTTACTGGACCTTCCTGAGAATAAATGAGATCTGTGAAGTTAGAAACTTGTGTGCTTCCCTTACCTGCTAATGAAACCTAGTCTCTTAACTTAGGCAATAATAAAACCTGATTTTTTTATTTTTTTTTTTAATAATATATTTTACTGTAAAACAAACTGAATTTTTCATTAACTAAAGCACACCCTGTGGGGAGGTTTGTAAGTATTCAGATAACTATTAATCAGCTAAGCTCAATGTTGATGAGCATGGTGGTCTATGAGTTGGGAGGTTTGAAATCCCTTCCTTTTATTATTTCATCAGTTTCATCTGAAAAATTAGCACCCCTTAAAAAAAAACAACAAACAACCTTTTACTTCTCGATTTCTGTTCTGTGGCATTCCAATAACTTTACGACTGGTTTGTTGCTGATGCTGTTTTGAGTTAATCTGCTATTCCCAGAGTGCGGGCCACTCTGGCTTCCTTCTGTATCGCAGCCTTGGCTCACATTTTCTGTCACCCTAAATGGAGGGTACTGGTAATAGATGGCTTGGTTGTTGTGAGGAAAACAAAAATGGCTGTTTTGTGAATACTAAGATCTGATTTATCAGATCTAATGGCAATGAGATCCATACTGTACACAAGGCAGACATCCCCACATGGCCTATTTGCGGAATGCCGATATTATTTGAAACTAACCGCTTTTTTCTGTGCCGTGGGGAATACTGAACCTCAGACTGCCAGGAGTGTATTTTTCAGATCAATTAACAGCTTTTCAGGTACAAAGTTCAATCAGTTTCTTCTGCAGCGAGAACTTGATAAGATAGTACTGACAGATAAAGTTAAGGCTTCTCCCTGGCATATCACACTGAAATGACATACACTGGCATTGATACGACTCACAGGAACTGAGGATGGCATGCTGCATAACTAACCTGTCATATGCTGTGCTGTGAGCTAATGTGTCAATAGTCTGCAAACTGTGTTGTAGCATTGGAAGCAAGTTAAAATATCAGGCAGCTACATGATACGACATTTACCAGCTGTCTGTTCCAACAGGAAAAGTGTCACTTCATCTTATAACCAGTGCTTAATTTATAAAAACAAGTTCAGTGGTAGGTAGATATGTAGTGCTTGCTGCCTGTTATTGGGTTTATTCTGCTTTGCAGGAAAAAGATTGAAAAAGCTAAAGTGTAATGACGTTCCATTGCATTTCAAAATAGGCTGCAAAACATTATTGAACAGATGTGCCTTTCCCATCCTTGTCCAAAATCCTTTTTTATATCTACACTATTTAAGAGATACGTGACTACTTTCATTTTTGGGAACCAAACACCACAGTTGTGAGGGTAAAATATCTGCACAAAATTTTTTAATTCGCTTCTCATATTTTCCGTATTTATCATTTGTGTAGCATACAATCCATTTGTGTAAAATAAGCTCTTTAATTATGTATCAATGATAAACATACAACAGCAAGTTAATAACATACCTAGTTTGAGTTGGTTTGTAATTGTATTGAGTACAACATAGAATCAATACGGATGACAAGTCCTCTATGAAATGTTCTGACTTTCAGATAAATACAGTTCATTGCATTTCTACCTGTGTTAGAGCGTGGTTCATTACTAATTCAAACCATCCTTATTAGCATCATGTTTCTTGTCTTTGGATGGCTTTTTCAAGTATTTTTGTTGGTATTCTTTTCTGTGGTTTAAAATAAAAGAGGATCTGCTTTTCTCTTTAAAAAAATCAAAAGGATCTCTTTTTTTCTAACAAAAACCAAATTTACGTCATTTTAAACTAGGGAGTGTTTTAAATTTCAACTGCTGCAAAACGAACAAGAAACTGCCTACTAAGGACTTAACCTTCATTAAACTCAAGCTAAAAGTCAGTTGCTATTTTGGATCAAGCTAAGACACTTCCGTGTAACCAATAACCATTTCTCACAAAAAAGACACAGCATTTCATTGTGGCTGTGTCAGGTTTCTGGAGATGATTGTCTACAAGTTAGGTATGTGCTCCCAAGATTTTGTCTTTGAAATTCTTATGGTCTTTACTATAATTACAGGAAACGTGAAGAAGAAAGTAAAAGAAAAGAAGCCAGCCTACAGAAAGGAATGCAGAATGTAGAGCAAAATAAGTTTCGAGTACAACCGAGCGCAGCAGATCGAGAGACTTCCAGCACATTGCAGTTATCTAATAAACAAATTGATCTACAGAATAAGAGACCTCTCTCTGTCAAGGCTTCTCAAATTCAACTAGGGAGAAACAGTAGAGGTTCCCCTAAGGCTTGTCGCAGCAAAGGGTCACCAAAGGAGAGCTGCCTGTCTTCAGAGCCACAGAGTGAAGGTCATAACATCAGGCAAGGTTTGTAATCATTGATAGTTGGTGTGATAGTTGTGTGTCTTTTTTGAATGTGTCTGGGGAGGTTTTGTGTGTAGAACATGTTTTACTCTTTTGTATTAATTGTTCTTTCATTATTTAAACAATTTATATAGGATGAAGCTAGGCATGGATTCTTTTTTTTGCATGTGTTCAGTCATGTTGGGTAGTCAGAGACATCGGTATGCACAGTGACTGTAACAGTACCTAAAATACATGAGAATGGGATGTCAGGAGATGTTCTGGCTATTAGCCACATTGTTTAGGAAAAAAGAGAGCAAAGATATTTGATGTATCTGTAGGATTCTTGAAGGATTCTTAATAGAGAATTGTAACTCATTTAAAAACAGATGAGGGTAGAATTTCTTCAAAGGCAGATCTCTAGTGTACAGAAGGCAGCTTCGTTCTCCATGGCAGATTTCTCCTATGATTTGCCTCCAGAGTTGTCTTTTTGAGAGCGTACTAGGATATTTTTTGAGAAATGAAGCTGTTCATTGAAGTGTGTCTGACTTCCTTATGTTACTTTATTTGCCCTGGTACAGTACACTCTTTTACTATTTCTATAAATACATCCTCACTTTATGATAATTTCTTGACCATATCTGTATTAGTTTCACAAGATACACACTTTAGCAATATTTCAATCAGTTCTGACTGCAACCAGTTATAGCAAAATTGGCCATGTTAAAGCATCTCTGCTGTCATTAGAAGTAAAAGTTGGATAAGTTGTTTGTTTAAGCTAAGCTGCAGGAACTCCTTTTCAGGCATAAAATTACTGCTACTTGGAATTTCACTGTAATCCAAAGGAAAAGAAAGTCAAAGAGCTTTTCTTGGATTTATTTTCCTTTTACATGGAAATGTCTTGATGAACAGAACACTTGTCTGTGTTGTAATAAAGGCAGACATCTATCTTATCCTAATATATTCTTTAAGAACTTTAAATGTCATTATTATGATAAACATGATAGAGATGTTAAAAATGCTAGCAAGCTTTATCCGTGTACATATGAAACAACAACGTAGTAAAACCAGATTTGCAAAGGAAAACACTTGAAATTAGGAGTAATCGGAAATGGTGGTTACCAAAGAAAAATGAATAGTTATAATGGACATATAATGAGGAGAAACTGATAGCTGAGGAGATGAAACAGGAGAAGGAAAGGGTTCTGGAGGGTTAGAGTGAGGGGAAAAGAGAAAAAGAAAGATGGAGAAATTATAAAGGAAGAACGAACAGCTTTTTCTTTTATTGACTCCAATATCCATTCTTTGCTGAAATTTTCCATTGCTTTTACCAATGGAAACTACGTTTCATCAGTCAGACTCCCAGCATTTATTGGAACAAATACAGTGCTGGAGTGAAGTGATGGCCTGAAGGTAGAAGAAGTATGTAGGATACATGGAGTATAAGGTCAAAGAGACTTCAGAGATCAGGATAGAACTTGCCAAATCTCCTGCATAGGATTCTTACAGTGTTACTTACGTTTGAAAAAAGCACATTTGTGTTCAGCTGTATACATGACTTTTCCCATATACCTGGGGAGTTCAAACCAGCAGTAAATGCCAGTAGCTCATAGCTTGAACTTTTGCCTTAAAGGCTTCCCTGAGGTTGGAGATTTCCTGAAGCAGCTATGCCAGAATAATTTTTCCATGTTGATGATTTATAAGTAAATTTTTAACTAACATGGGCCATTGTCTGGAGATTTTCTGGTTTTATTCATTTATTTATTTATTCTTATATATATATATAAAAGAAGAATATAATTTCTCCAGAGGTAGAGTTACGATTTTCTTCACCATTTTACATTGTCTTCCCTGTGACAATGTGGAGCACAATGAGAACAGAAATCTTGACACAAGGTTCTTCTGAAAACGCATGGTAACGTGTCTACTTATGCAGTGAGAACAGGTTCAGGTTATAAAGAAAGCTCCTTCAGAGTCCAGTCAAAAATGTCTGTGTTTGAAATGGAGTGCTGTGCTGTGTTTACTCGAATCTGGTTACTCATTGATGCCAGTGAAGTTGATGCGGTACGAATCGACTCATGAAGTTTTTTACCCGCTTTTCATGAGGTGTCACAGTCAATCCTCATGTGGTAAAAAAAACTTCAATGGACTTCACTGGAAATTTTAGTGGAATTAAATATAAACTTAGATCCCGTGGGCTGGCACTTTGGAAAGCTCTTCAACAGCTGAAGCTAAATGTTTTACGCTTACTCACAGAATGTGAAAGCTGTAGTTTAGCTGGTGGCTCTGTTCTGATCCATTCTCCTCTCCATTCTGAAATCTTTCCTATGTGCGTTATCTCATTTGCAGCTGCAGTTTCCTTAATTGTAAGTAATTTTTCTAGCTCTGTGCTCAACACTGTTTCTTTGCATCTATGAAAGTTTATTTCAACCTCAGAAGGTGATCTAGAATTCTTAAATGATCTTCTCATCTCACTTCTACAGTGAGCCAGTTGTTCAGACTGGGAAGTTTTGCACACACTTCTTTAATGACTTACATGTTCTAGGGATGAAATAAAAGTGAGAATTCTACATCCCACATTTACAAATCAGGTAGCAATTTTGGGTGAGTTAAGAATGACAAAGGCTGCGTTCTTTTTTCCTCACAACTGTAAAGACTGACTTTTTGAAAGATCAAAACAGTTCTGTGACAGTGCTGGAAATTTCATACACGTGAACTGAATGTCAGCCCTTTACTGATGTATTGATTGTTGTATTGATGTATTGTACTGACAGTATTGATGGTACTGGTAATTTTGTACTTGGCTTCATTGGGAGTGGAATTATGCCCTAAGAAATTTTGTTGTTAAAAGGCACTTTTTTCAAATTGTAGCAGCACATTTTTTAAATCATCTCATCCACTGTTGTAGTGAGAGAGGGGGAATTTACTTCTGCACTCTGGAAGTTGAGGAAAAAACAGGATTAAATGAGGTAATAATTGCTTGAACAAATAATAGATTAAAACAGATCATACAGTAGTGTTTTTCTCCCTGTCTTACAACATATACAGGGCTATATGACAATCTTTATATAAGTTAGAATAGCCTCTCTGGCCATACAGTCCTGTCACCATGATAAATCTTCCCTGTCAGAGGCATCAATTATAATAATCGTGAATTCCTTCTGTATAAACTGTTATTCTGCCACATTCAGCTACCCAGACAAGAGAGTGTACTGAAAAGGTGTTAAAGTGAGGATAAGTATAGCATGGTTTTACCAGGTTTTGTTTAATCCAGGCATTTACACTCTAGTCTGGCTGCCACATCATTCTCACAAGAGTGTTTGGAAGCAATAATCATACCTGATTAACTTTCCTATTGTGGCCTTGGAAACTGGGAAAAGTCGTCTTGCAATAAGGGAAAAATGGGAAGGACTTCAAAGTTTCATTTAGGAAATCAAGGGAAGTAATGACAGCCAAGCCCTCAGGATTTCCTGAGTCAGTTACATTGTCATGGTGTGCTGGGATACAAGGTGGATAGAGCAGAAGGTCAGCAAATAAGCTGGAAACAATGACAGTCTGTTAGGGTGTTGTCACTGGAACTAGCAGGTGTGTTACTGCAGCTGCATTCTTTTGCCATGTGGTGAGCTTATATCTGTGGAAAAGACCACTTTATTCAGGAAGGTAAATTCCTCTTTGAACTTTGTTAGGTATCTAATTCAAATTTGGTGCAAGAGAGAGAGACATGTAGAACGGTACGCAAGAAGTTTGAGATGTTAATCAGGTAATGATTACTTGCAGCCCGGAAGGCCAACTGTGTTCTGGGCTGCCTTAAAAAAGGGATGGCCAGCAGGTGATTGTCCCCCTCTGCTCAGCTCTTGTGAGGCCCCATCTGCAGCACTGCGTCCAGCCCTGGGGCTCCCAGTACAGAAGGGACACGGAGCTCTTGGAGCGGGTCCAGAGGAGGGCCACTAAGATCATCAGAGGGCTGGAGCACCTCTCCTATGAGGAAAGGGTGAGGGAACTGGGCTTGTTTAGCTTGGAGAAGAGAAGGCTCCTGTTTGAAGGCTCCGGTACTTAAAGGGAGCCTACAAACAGGAGGAGGAATTGCTGTTTATGAGGGTAGATCATGATAGGACAAGGGGAAATGGCTTTAAACTGAGACAGGGGAGGTTTGGGTTAGATATTAGGAGGAAGTTTTTCACTCAGAGGGTGGTGACGCACCGGAACAGGTTGCCCAAGGAGGTTGTGGATGCCCCATCCCTGGAGGCATTCAAAACCAGGCTGGATGTGGCTCTGGGCAGCCTGGTCTGCTGGTTGGCAACCCTGCACATAGCAGGGGGTTGAAACTCAATGATCACTGTGGCCCTTTTCAACCCAGGCCATCCTATGATTCTATTACCTTTCCTGATTCTTCCTGCTACTACTTTTTTTTTTCAAGTGTGCCTCAAAGGTGCATGAGCAAAAGAATATTAGAATAATAAACTGTTTTGCTGGATCAGAGACTGAATGTTTGTTTCCATTTCTCTGTTTAAAGAATTATTGAGAAAGCACATCAAAAGCAAGCCAAGTTGTGTCCATTTCCATTGCGGCAAAGCAAAAGAGGTAATGAAAATTGAAGCAAAACATCAGGTTGCAGCTGCTACAGAACTGAATGGAGAAAAGCACAAAGAGCACGCTTTGGAGGCAAATGGTGCTCGTGGTAACAGAAGGCATGCTTCTGCTTGTGGGACTGCTGGTGCTGGGGAAAAAACAAGAGATCAAAGTCAGTCTTCATCTGGTAACAGGGGCCACTGTGAAGGAACTTCAGTGGTCATGTGCAATGTCAGTTGTGCTGGTGGAATTGCAAGAAATTCAAAGCGGTGTGAAGCCGTTCCAAAAGGCAAAAGGCATCAGCAGAAATCCAGACATAAAGAGGTGAATGATGAGAGATGTTCACCGGCTGGCTCAAGTAGACCAGGGAGTGCCAAAGCAGTATTTGTAAACACCAGAAATGCCGCTGTTAGTGCCATAGGAGATGCTGACAATGTGGGAAATAACGAATTAGTAAAAAAGACCTCCCCATTATTGTCTACTGAGACCGAATCTACAGGAACTGGGCCAAGAAATCCAGCAGTGTGTTCTGCTCCTGATGACAGTTTGAACTTGGAAAAAACAGGTGAAGTCGGATCCAGGAACGCAGATGACCAACTATGTTCTGTTGCGTGGCAAAGTACAAATATTGAACTGATCCCTTTAGAGATTCGGATGCAAATCATAGAAAAAGAAAGAACAAGAAAAGAGCTATTTCGGAAAAAAAACTACGCTGCTACAGTTATACAGAGGACATGGAGAAGGTAAGGCTACTATTTCAGTAGCTAGAGATGAGATACACTTAGATGTGGACTGCGGTGTACATCAGCAGCGTGCTTTATTTGGTCCCTTTGCTTATAGCAGTAACTGTGATAAATCAGGAATGTAATAATCTTTCACCCACCAGATGGAAGTATGCTCCAGTTGCCTAGACTGACATCAGTGAGTTCATAAAAAGAACACAGTGATGACTTTCAGTAATTGGTGAAGTTATTAAACTTCTGTTCCAAGCATTCTTTATAGAGTGCTGATCAACACTCACCTGAGGCCAGAGTTACTGCACTCATGCTCAGTAGCAAACATGTAGGAATGTAATTTTCTTCCAGCAGTTTTTTGTTACTGGATCCTCCACCGTCATTTACTGGAACACCTGAAATTGTGTTGTATTGTATTCTAACCTAATGGCTCAAGCAAGTTTGTTTGCTCCAGCTTTCTGACTCATCGATCTAAGTATTGCTCATTACAGTACAGTCATATTCCAGCTTATCTCTTCATTGTTGTTGATATGTAAAAGTGCAGTTGACTTTTCTAAGTATATTCCTATTCCAGTGGAAAGCTGACATTTTGGAGAATGCTATTTTTAATTCATTTTTGAGCCTTGTGTGTGAAAATTATGACTTTTTTGTACAATAGCACTGTACATAGCACTTCTGTTCTCCTGCAATCTTTGGTCTCCAGTTGCTATTTATGACACACTCCTTATACCTACACTCAACTGCAAAGCAATCCCTTTTTCTTCCCCAGTAATCCAGTACTCCTGCCATCACCCTCAAATTTTCCATCCATTGTTTTTTGACTTCTTTTCTAATTGGGAGCCTGAATTCTTGTCTTGTTTTCAGATCCATTGAGATCCCAGAAGCTGAATTAAGTCAGGAGTAGATGAGGGGAGCACATCCATTCATGATACTGTTGCTTCTGGTGATTACGCTGTTCTCAGTTGACAGCAAATTGCAATCCTTCTAAAGCATGGTGCATGGTACAGCTTTCAGTTGGAGAGTTCCCCACACACCATGTAGCTCATCACAGTTACTAAGTAGGTACCCAGTGTATGGCTGTGGGTCCCACTAAGTCCTGCGTGTCATTTGAGTCGAGGCTTGCACTGGTAAAAAGCACACACGTGTAGACAGCAAGAGAACTGCGCATCAGTACAGAAATATGTTGATGTTGTAGTATGTGCTTGAGGTCTAGCATTTCTCTACTTCGGATTAAATTGCTTTGTCTCTGCAAGTTTTACAGTGATAATTTTCTTACTGAGAATGTTATTGAAAGCTGTTGTGAGCTGCAACACAATGGCCCTGGTCTACTAAAGCATACTTAACTTTCCTTTCTTGGGAAGACGTTTCAATTCCCACAGTCCACAAACTTTGTAAGTGTAGCCCTCAGAAGTGTGTTCCAAGGTGTATGCCTTGCCAAAGGTTAATTGCTCATCCTGCTCACTGAGGCTTGCAGATCCTGTGTCTGCCTCGCTCTCATCTGGGGCACTGGGGCCACTGCTGTCCTTCGTGGTCCACAGTGAATTGACAGAAACTGGCAATAAGCTGGTACTGTTGGTCTCCTGCTGGAGATGAGTGTTTCCAATCCATTATTGCTGCATGTGTACCTTACCAGCAGCATTTCAAAGCTTGAGCCCCTGTAACAGCGTACCTGAATAGCACTTACCTTTCTGCATGTGCATTCCACATTTATGTGCAGTAGTTTTGCTGAAGAAGTGTTGTCTATTTTGTTAGGGCACCAGAAGGATTAATTGATAGAGCATTAAACTTGGTGCTCTTCTGTCTTTTCTTAGTAGAATCAGAACAGTTTATTATAGGAGGAGCTTAATTAAAAAATAATAATAATAATAAAAATGCACACACACTGAAGATATCTGCCTACATCTGTATTTCAGAGCCTCAGATTTGTTTTCTTGTTGCTCAGAACTACCAGAAAACTACAAACAACAAATCCCAGCTGGGTGCAAAGGTGGAGGCCTGTGTGTGCTTCATTTTATGCATCAGTGAATGTTTCTGGCAGTTAATTACGGAATTCCACCAGAACAGCTTACTGTTCTTTTCTGCTCACGTCTAAAACAGTCCCCACTTGTTTTTCCTGCAGGGGGGTTCACCAGGCCCATCCTTAGCAGAAGTTATGCTGGCAAGGCGCAGACATTGTCATGCTCCCCTCACTTGCTTTTACTCCACTGAAGAGTTCAAAGAGACGTGTTATCTACCCAAACAGAATCCTTTTTCTTCTGTCTTTTAATGGTGCTCCTGTTCTGAAGCCATGCAGTGCTTTACTTCTTGTAGGCGCTGCAGATGTTACTGCTTGATGCGGTTGCTCCCCATGTTTGTTACGTACTTCAGTGAGCTGTGGAACAGCATGTCTGAATCCTAAGCTCCACTACATTAAGATTAAATACATTTTTCTCACACAGCAAATTTCAGAGAGGTAATTTACCAAGCTGACTGAAAGTCTGAAACGGGTGGAGCTGTAACTGAGCATCTCATCACATCCCTCTGGCTCTGTTGTACTTCTGTGCAGTGATTTCCCATACACGGCTGCTGTGTTGTTGGAATTCCGTACCTCACTGGCTTATAACATGTTTAAACAGTTGTGTCTGGCTGTGTTGCCTGTTATTTTAGTTCAGAACTTGTTGCAGTTGGAGCAGCAGAAGAGATTCACTTCTTTTCTCCTTCCCTTTACCAGTGGGGGATGGCACTCAATATGTTTTTGTCCATTACCAAACACTTGTAATGAATATTTTACAGGCGTTACTCAATATTCATTTATGACAGGTTTGTATTGGAGAGATTCAGCATTAGTTGTTAGGCCACTTGTGAGTATGAAGACCAAAGACCAAAAAAGGAACTCCATTTGCTGATGCCATTGCTGGCACTCAAGGAGGAAAGACAGGTAACCTGCAGCTGTGTCTCACAGCAGAACTGTGACCAAGCGTGCCACTGCTTTCATGTTGCACCTAAGCAGCAATGGCAAAGTTGGGTTAGGAAATGGGGAGATACTTAAGGGAAGGGGAGAAAAGGAAAAGGGAGATTGCTGCAAACAAGGTGGGAGGGGAACACCTTTAGAGAATGCATGGAAACCAGCAGATTTCTGTAGAGGAAATGTGCAGCTGAACCTGTAAAAGCTATGTTTGGCTTCTCTCCTGTAGCAGTTCACAAATAGAAAGTGGTAAAGTGCAGCAGAAATATTGCTGTTATTTTCTGAGTCTAAGGAAAAATGAAAACACAGTTGTGATTGTATTCTTATTAATATTTATAGATTGCATCCTCCAGATATTCTGTGTACAGTTAAGCAGGTGATAGGCTGATGTTACAGAGCTGTAATTTTGATACCTGTAATACCAGATCTTTATTAGCTGTGTGAAATAACGGATGCACGTAGAATTGAATCCAGTTCCTGCTTTTTTACTTCTGAGCAAACATCTCATCCAAGTGACTTAGCACATCAGTGGGAGTTCTGTTTTCCCAGCTACTCATGTAATCCTCCATGTGAACTGACGCATGGAAAGCACTGAAGTTAAAACAGGTCACCTAAAACAAGTGCTCTTCTCTTTTGTGCTCTCCAGTTACCATCTCAGACAGGAGTTGTCTCAGCTTCTTAGTACTAAGCGGCAGCGCAAAGAAGATGAAGACAAATGGAGACAAGAGACAGCTGCCTTCCTCATTCAAGTTGCTTGGAAGAAACAGCTGAACCATAGCCCTCAGAAATCAGTTCCTCCATGTAAAAGCCTGAAATCTGTAAACAAAACCAGCTCAGCCATAAAAACCAGCAAGCAGTCCATCCTCAAGCAGATCTATGGTAATTTTGTTTTCACTATACTTTGGTTCTAAAAAGCACTGGATTAATTTGATAACAAAGTGTTCCTTATATTTTGAATTCTTGGGTACATTTTCTACTCAGTTGTTATGGATTAAAACAATTTATAACATTTAGTCTGAAATCTCAAGCGTTCTGGATAATTCTATAACCATTTTAGATGGAAAGAAATACTTTGGCGATTTAAAACAGTTTCTTCTAAAGCTGTTTGAATCACCATATCGTTATTCCAGCACAGTTCTTCAGCCACCAAATCATTCCCTTGCCAGAGTTGCTCAAATGTATAAATGTGGAAAGAGAACAGAGCTGTCAAACTGGGGACAGACGGCTGCATCGATGCACAGTGGCTGTCTGGAACGCAGCTGAACTTTATAAGCATTGCTTTCAACTTTTATTATACATACATATGTATATTTATATGTGTGTATTTTAAATATTCCCATCTGAAGAATATGATCATGTTTGATATCATTAACTTCCGTGCTTGAAGACAGCTGATCTTCATTGGGACATCAAGGTAATCTGTAGCACTGCAGCACACTGCACTAAGTCTGAATACGCACTCAGCCTCCAGTGCATCCTGAGGAAACAACAGAGGAAAGGCATTGTTTTTAAAGCACAAGTTCCTTACGCTGTGATCACCACTCTGTGTACCTTAACAGGTGGCAACTCATGCTTATCATGGCTCTCTAGTTTAGATAGCTTTATTTCATTACAGCTATCTTTTTTGGCAAGCACTTAATGTTCCTTTTTTTACACAGCAACTGCAAGACATCATCAAAGTTTGCTTAAAGCTCTGTTAAAGTTGTAACAGTTTTCTGTCATGCAAAATGTCTTACGAGTTTCCTCATCATAAAGGAGAATATTTGAGGATAAAATAATGCTGTAGCCTCTTTAAATAATTTATAGCTGTCCATAGCCATATTTCTACATGAATAAACACCGAGCTGTTGGTGTTGTTTATTAAAGGGCGTTCTCAGGAAGGCAGAGTGTACCAGCCAGCCAGACCTCCCTCTAAGCTGAAATATTCTGATGTGCAGCTGGTTTCAGGTAAGACACATTCTAACAATACTGGGAATAGAGCAAATGCCTTTAATGTTTTATATATATGTGCATGTCATTGGGTTTCTCTTAGAAAAAGAGGAAAAAAAACCCAACTCATCAAGAGCTGGGATTGAAGATCAAGAGATGTAACTATTACCAACCTGTTGTATGTTCTTTTGCTACTTTTGGACCGACTGAGCAATGTGCTTTTATCCTAACCCTGAATCATCTATATGAAAGCTTATTTTGATTGGACTATTACTTGGAAAGATCTTAAAATCATGGATTTCTACAGAGATAAGCTACTCACCTGTGGTTAAAATCCCTTACGGATGCTCGTACTGTGATTCATTAGTGTGAATATTTACCTGTAGAAGTAGTGGATTTCTACACGTACCAAGTATTTAGACCTGTTTGTGCTTTAGTCACAGACTCATAGGATGGCCTGGGTTGAAAAGGACCATAATGATCATCTTGTTTCAACCCCCCTGCTGTGTGCCAGCGTTGCCAATTACTAGACCAGGCTGCCCTAGTGCACGGATAAAATGGGAAAATCCAAAGTAATCTGATCTCTGCCCTTTCTTCTAAGACAGTGCAATGGTGCTCCTGTCCTGTGTGCAGAGCTCCAATCAGTTCATAGAACATTATGTGCACTAAGTTTTAGGGCTCTGAAGCAAGCCTGCATTACTCCACTGCTTAGCAGTGAGGCCGTGTATTATTGCCAGGTTTTTCCTGGGAAATCCTCTGTCCTCTTTGTAAATAAGTGAAATTTTGTGTGTGGAAATGGTACCAGGGCAGCAGTTTTCAGACAAGGCGCTGAGAGTTGCTGTGATGGGGACTGTCACGACATGCAGCCAGAGATGGTGCTACAGTGCATTGTACAGAACAGCAGCCAGAAACAGAGATGTAGGAGTGTCATCAAGGTCAGTAAAGTCCAGAAGTTTAATGCATGGGGCAGTAGTTCGACAGATAACTTAAAAATGAGGTTAGAATACACAATTCTCCTAGTACTCCTTCAGTAAATAACTTTTTTTGAGACTATTTCAAGTGTACGCACTTAGGGCTGGGAGCTGTGTAACGTCAGTCCTTCATCACGTGAACAGCCTCTTTCTTTAGTCTTGGCTGCATCCCACGTAGTTCAGAGCTCACAGGCTGAGAGGAAAAAAAGAAATCCTTCAAAGAGACAATAGTTCAGATAAGGTGCATTGGAAAGTAAAATCAGTTTTCCCACTGGTTTACTAAATTCTGAAGTCAAAAGGAAATTCAGCAGCAGCCCTAGCCTTGAATTTGTTAGAATTGTAGGTGAATTTCTGCCTTGGTGAAAGACAGAGACTTCTTTCTTCCAGTATTTGAAACAACTGTTTTAATTAAGAGGCATGACCAGACGTGTTTGATTGCCACCTCTTCATACAGACACCAATCTAAATTTTAAAAGAGTTTTAGCAAATAAAGCAGCTCTTCATTGAACTTTCTAGCACAACGGGTCTCCCTGTCTTCTGAAATGAAAGGCTGTCTTGTGAGGTTTGCCCATCCTTTACTTTCATAACGTGGTGACGAATAGGACAGTGATAGGAACTTTGCCCAGTTCCTTCAGAACACTACCTACTTTGATTCACCTAATAGGAGCTGGGGGAACTTTAGCCCTTCCTTAAAGACAATAACACGTTTTTCATCTGCCTGCCTTCATGCATGACAACGTTACGTTCATTGGAAAAGTTCAGAGCTGTCAGTGGCTAATGCCAGATACTCCGCTGCTGACGTAGGTGCCTGGAGCAGGTCAGCATGGACTGCTCAGTTTGATTCTTCTCCTCAGTGGAAGGTGCAGCTGGGAAGGTGAAAACTGACTATCAGCCCTAGTTTTCACTTTTGTCTAGCTGCTGGAAAAAGCAGGCTGTGACAAATGTCCAACAGGAGACTGACACCAAACTCACTGAACTTCTCAGCAAAAGCAACCTCAGTGCTGCAGAGTGGGGACACGTACATAGGAGGTAGCAAAAGGAAATACAGGGAGTTAAGGGGCAGGGGAGCCACGAAAGGATGACAGGGAGAAAAGAAGGAAACACAAGCCCTTGCTGCTCTTCAGCCACCTCAGCCAACAGCTTTAGTAAGTGACTGAGCCATCAGCCTGAAAGCGCTCCTTCGTTTATGAGAGTGAAACTTCAGCTCCATTATTATGGGTTGTGCTGAACACACAGCCATGTTAAAGTTGTGCTGAGTGCCACGGAAACAGAACTACTTACAGGTAAGGATGAGATGTCAGGAACAAGGTGCTGTATTGCTGGTAGGTTCTTTGTTTATGAAATGCAGAATCAGTGTGGATTAAACTTTTCTCATTTGGAATAATTCCTCAAAACTGCTGTGTTCTTTTACAGTGAACAACCTGCAGTATGTTCATCTGCTGGAGAATGTGGGAAAGTCAAAGCAGTTTTCATATAACATGAGGCCAAGCACTGCTGCAAAATCCAAAACTCCAAGACTCGAAAACTAAGCGGACATTTGGGATTTAAGGAGCATTCTGGTACAAATGTAACTTTTCATCACCTGCAAGCCATCTACAACATTTTAAACTTGAACACATTTCCAGTTTTTTATTACATGCCAAGCAGGCTGCTAGGGAGTCGGACTTGTTTGTTTTGTGTACAAATTTGTCTTTAAATTCTAATTTATTTACTGATACATGAAATCTGAACTGCATTTGGAAGCAGACAATTAAGTGCTAAGCCCAGCGCTGTGCTGCAGTGGTTCACAAACATTTACATTGTGGAATCAGGAATTTTGAGTATGTGCTCATTAAATGCAATTGCAAAGGAGAGTACTGGGGCTGTAACAGTAACTGCTGTTTGGTTTCACCTCAGAATTTACTAAATGTATCTCAAAATCTAAACAAGAAAGGAGGCATAACCTTTATGTTCCATTTCTGTACTAAAGAACAGGTAATTTCTCAACCTGTTTTGGGGATTTGGAAGGGAAGGGAAAAATGTTGACAAAGAAATCACTCCGTAAGTAAATTTCTTTCCACAGCACATGGAAAGTTAGCGGTGTTTTCTACCCTTTGAAATAATCCTGTTATTTATTCATTAAGAATTGTATTTTTATACACACACAGAATGAATTTCTCCAGGAAGCAATATAGGGCAGGGCCTGTGCTAGTAGGAAGCTTGTCTTTAGAGCAGTTGGAGCTGCTGCTGTACGGTATTTACTTTGCACCATGTCTTTAAAAACACAAATTTCTGAAACTAAAATCACGATTTATTTTTAAAGTGGTGGACAGATAATTTTATTCTAGTTGCTGTTACATAATTCCAGTTCTTTAGTTGGATGGAGTCCACACGAGTCTCTGCTTCCCTGCGAGCACTTAAGCCTCACAGAGGTCCCTTATCTGACCCTTCCCCGTGGTCCTTCTAGGAAGCCCAACTTCCAGTGAAGCTGCAGTTTCGTGCTTGAAAAGAAAGCTACAGGAGGGATGCAGCTCTTTGTAAAATTTTTATTCTGTTTCACTTACAAAAAAATGGACAAGCTTTGTTCCAACATCTCCCGTTCAAAACTAAATAGAAGTAAATGCTTTACAATAAATGCAGTTCCACCTCTTTAATACACTGCGTTCATAGGGCTGGGTCCCTGGGGGTGAGAGGCCAGGTAGATGTTGAAGCAGTAATGGAGGTCCGTCAGCCACTGCTCTTGGACTTCGCCGCTCTTCAGGGTCTAAAAAATAAGGGGGGGAGGGGGGAATTCAGCAACAGCATTTGTGAAGCTTTGCTTTGTTCTTAGTGAAGCAGGTGCTCTGCTAAAGACACCCAATGGCCTCATTCACTGGCATGCAGTGACAATTCTCTCTTAGTCTGTATGTTTAAACACGGTACGTCTGTTAGTGCTGAAATAATAAAGTGTCATTATTTGGTATGTTAAGATTGTGTTACATTATGGAGTGTGTGAATTCTATCAGATGCAACTTCTTACTCTTAATTACAGCGGGTTGCTCACTTCACAATTCTGCCACCGACAGTCAATTACAACGCAAGTGTGTGCAGTTCCACTGTAATACTCACCCAAGGAGTGCCACTGTCCACAGCCCACGGGCACTAACTCATCCTCCTCAGCATTTCTCAGTGGTTAAAAACAGAAACAAAACCACAACCCAGCCACAGCCACACATCCCCAAAGCAGGCTGAAGCCTTTCCAGCACTGTAGGAAGCCAGCGACATATTTTCCACTGGAGAACTTGCTTGATAGACTTACATCTTGTTCTCCACCCCCCCGAGGTTAAGTTTGGAATGACATTATAAAATGATTACGGCATTGTACTTATTCAAGTCTGGGGACCATACAAACTCCCTGCACCCAGAACTAGTCATAGATGTGTGCAAGACGACAGCTTCTGATCTGTTTCCCGAGAAGCAGATGTAATAATCTCAAAAGCTCTGACAAGTGCATGTGTGACTATAATGCTGGATTCTGCAATAGCTGCACATTTTAAGACTTCTACCGTTTGTCTCTCCAGAGACCTGCACACTTGAGAGAGAGAAGATATTTCCCACCAGCACATATACTGGGACAGCTCCCCACCCAGCTGTGGCATGCTGCACCTCATCCCCTTCCTGGGCACTTTGTTTCAAAACTTAGCTTTGAAATTCAGCCCAGGGGTCCTGGACAGCATTTGGCTCTGTGACAGTCTCATTTATGCAAAACACAACTCACATTTCACCGAGCGTAGGGTTTGCAGTCACTGTTCAACATAAACACAAAGTATATTCTTGTGGTCTCTGGCAGACAAGAACAGGTTTCCTACCATGATGTCCTTGATAATCTGCTGCACCAGGAATTCATTGGTCATCATATGGCTCCTGAGCTGACCGTGTTGCATCAGTAAGCGAAGCAGCTGAGCAACAACGGGCAGCTCCTCGCGGCAGATCCTGCTCACTTGCAGACTTTGCAGCATCAGTCTCAGCAGCCGTGGCAGGAGTGCTAATGCAGAAATGCACGATCCCCACAGCATATCCCTGGGAAGAAAAGAGAACGAAAACTGAAGTGATCAGGGCAGCTCATTTCAGACACGCTTCTGTGGCCGATGTCTTGTATTTGTACCAGGAAACGCACCCCTGTGTTGATGCCAGTTGGCACGACTGCATTTGCAATTAGTGCTGAAGCAGAAAATTTGTAGTGGCAAATGTTACACTCAACAACATTCTAAGCTGATGGAAAAAATTCAAGGTCCTGCCCTGGAGCTTCAAATGTTGCTGAAGCCCTCACATGGTGTGACTTTTGCTCGAAGCAGTGGGGAAGAAGGGTTCTTCTTTCAGCTGTAATTCAAATACATCTGAACCTCTTGAATCTTTAAGGCTCAAAACAAATACAGAAAAACACAATCAGTGCTTTGTAACATGTAACATGTACATAGTAAGAGAAGGAGGAGTCTTCCTAAGCAAACTCTGATCAACCTTCCTGTATGTGGAACAGTTTAAGAAAAAAAAAAATCAAAGTTTCAACTGCATTTCTGCTTTACTGGTAAATAAACTGATCCCAGGTGGCTGTGGCTGTTTGATTCCCAGAAAGTGTTGTTAAAGCTGAAACACCAACTTAGGTACACGCTTACAGAGCCAAATCCTTTGTGTGCTGCTTTTCAGCTTATCTAATGAGGGTAAGGCTACACATTAAGGTGCAAGTATCTGCATTTCTGGGGTCAGGGGGGTTCCGAAATCCCACAGCTGCAGTAAGTAAAAGCTTTAAGATGAAACCTTCTGTAGCTGTTGTTTTAAATTATTACAGCTAACACTGCAGATGTGTATAAACAAAAGGACAAAATAAACTGCAGTCGGAGGGGTTTGCCCTCTGTCTTACATCTCTAGATATCTGTGCTTACAGAGAATTCATATAGTATGAAAGGCAGCATTACCTTTTCTGTACGTGTTCTGCATCCTCTTTGTCCAGAGTTAGCAGGAAGTACAGGAGGCTGTAACAACAGGAGGCTAAGAACTTGTGCAGATTTTCACTCAAGATGCAAGCTTGATCCAAGAGCTTATTTATGGCACACAGAACAGATCCAGCTGTGCTATCAGGTATTACAACCAATCCAACCTGGATTAAAACAAAAACCCTCAACTTCATTGCTCCATACACAAGTTTTTGCTGTTACACAAACAATTCCAACGCCAAATGTGTCCTTTCATATGACAACAAACATTACTTTCTTTCTGTTCAAGAATAGATACTACTGCATTTAACAACAACAAATCCTATCTTCCTTAGAAATTGACTGGCACAGCAACAGAAGGTTAACAAGTATTTCAGCCTAAGCATTCCCTGCCTGCTAAAGAAGGCATTACCACTTCCAGTATATTTTTCAGAGAAGTGCAAAGTGAAAAGGCCTCACATTGATAGTCCTCTAGCCTACAAAACATGGGTGTGGAAGCATCCATCATTTCTCAAAGTCCCTGTGCCGCACGGGGCTTTCAGAACAGAACCTGCTTTTTGTGCATTCGATGTTGCAAGTTGGGAAAAGAGGACAAAATCTAGAAGCAAATTTGCAAGACTAGATGTATGTTATCCTCTGAGCATCAGTACTGAAACAGACCACCATTAGTGCAAAAGTTCTAAGGAATTTCTCCGGCTCTTAAACCACTGCCTTTCAGATAAAAATACAAGCAGGCAGCTAACAGCAGCTATAAACAGTAAAGGAGACAAGAGTCTTAATCCCACTCCCTCTAAATAAAGACAACATTCATCCCCAATCTATTTAAAAGAAAACAAAGCTTTAAGTCTTCCTCTGAAGGACCATACAGACACAAAAAGCAGCTGTCAGACAAAACAGGTCTTTCCTTTTGAACACATATCATGGGACAGAGCATTCCTTCTATGTCTTGAAACACCAGTAAGCCACCACTGAGGTAGAAGGAAACTCAGACTTAACTCTCCAGAAAGAAAAAGCACCGAGTACTCCTCAGGACTGGTCTCTGAAACGCAATGTGCTCGACAGGGATGAGAGCATTACAGAATCACAGGATGACCTGGGCTGGAAGAGACCTCAAAGTCCACCCATCCCCAAGCCCCTGCTGTGGGCAGGGGTGCCCCCCACCAGCCCAGCTGAATTTGAGGGTTACAGAGACAATTACAAGATTTATCACAAGCAAGCCAAGATGGAAAACAAAATATGACTTACCAGGTATTTACAGATGCCGGTCTGGAGAATGTCAAAGCACTGACTTTGGGAAGGTATAGTGGACAAGCTGTGACAGATCACCTGTTTTAATAAAGCAGTTATATTTAAGCACTTAAAAATACATACAAATAGCACAACTAGCAACCATTCACTGCACAATTCCAGATTTTGCTGACAGACCTAAATACAAAGTACCTATGAGGACATGGCAGCTTTGTCTTTAAAGGTACTGGTTCTTGGCAGTGTATCAGAGTAACACTGTCAGCATAAATTACTCTGTGTTTAATGAGAGGATGACCTGCGCCACTGGTTCTGTGGTAGTGGCTTTCTTCCATTTACCTCTGTGAATGAAGTAGAAAGGCAAAAACACTCAACCCAGCTACAATGCCACAGCAAGGCTACACCCTGCCTGCCTCTGAGAGGAAGACATTCAGAAAACAGAGACCACAGATACCATTAACAAGCATGGAATAGAAAAATGGCCACAAAAAGGACAGGAAAGAAAAGAAAAAAAACAGGAGGTAGCAAAGATCCCTTTGCTACTACTTTTCTTCTACATTGCCACTAATGTGATGGTCAACGTTGATACAAAATGAAATAGTATAAAGAGAAATCTTGTTTTCTGACCTGCCAACTTCCTGGTGCTTGTGCAGCCAGGTGTGAGCAAACTGCATGAGATGTGCAGGAGCGTGACAGCAAAAGCTTAAGAAAGAGGTGAACTGAAGGCTCGGGCCTTTAAAGTCTAGAACAACAGCAATGGTTTCAGTTCACAAGAGCTCCTGGCAAACCCAGGGACTACTGCCTTATTTATTTTCTTCTTCCTACTGTAATTAAAAAAAACAATATCATCGTTATGTAGGCGAGAGTGGCCATGTTGGGGATGGAAATTAAAAAAATAAAAAGTAGAACAAGACCGCATGAAATACAGTGCAACCCTGTGAAAGATAAAGAGAGATGTTCCAGAAGCTCAAGTAACTTGTCCTGCTGCAGTCCTCGCAGATCACATTCTCTGCTCCTCTCTTCCTTCCCAACTACTCCATTTGTGATCCATTCAAAGCATTACAAAGTAACGCCTTTTGCAAATCTACTGTATCTACTCTTTCAAAGGGTAAGGCTCTCCTTAGCTACTGCAAGGACCTAAAAACATTTGCATTTCTGCAGTGTCAAGGAACGAAGACAGGAGGTTACGAAACAGGATTGTCAAGGGCAAACTGATGCCAGCATGACCTCATATTTGAACGAGCAGCACTTGCACAAAAGGTAAAATGGCACTGATGAAATGTGTTGGCTGACAGCTCAAGGTTGAGAACACCGAGATAGGAAGATGGGACTAACCTATAAGATTGCATGAGTCTCCTGATTAACAGAGAAAAAATATGTCAGTGAAACATAAGGGAAAAGTCACGCTCCTGGAGACTTCAAAACTGTATGCAATGCGGACCTGTAACAACTGGAAACAAGGAGAAAGATCCATGCATAGCCAATCACAGAGTGATTGAGATACAACCACAGAACAAGCAAATACGGCATCAGGATGCAAAAATGAGAATGACCAGAACAGAGAGGGTCAGTGCTGCTGAACAGAAGTACAGTACTACTCTGTAAGACCCCACACGCACCATTCCTGAAATACCACGCAACACAGGAGGCACTCCTCTTCAAGAAAGGTAAACTTAAACTGAACGGGCACAGAAAAACTGCAGAGAACGGAGATTCTATCTTACAAATCTAGATGAAAAGGACTTCACCTGCT